ATCGTGTGTACACTTCGTCCAGTAATCATTGGTAATCACACGTCAAAACTAGCTATTTTCGCCGTTCTTATCGAATTGGGGGGGGGGGGCTGTCTTATGAAAACAGGCCAAAATGCTCTTCGCTGGCCAAAATTATTTAGTTCTTGATTATTTTTGTAGGTAATCACTGATAATCAGTAATCCTGTGAACACTCCTGAGCTGGGTGGTTGACCCCTCGGAAAAATGTCTTGCTTTGTTGCAGGCTCAGAGGCGGTCGAGTTTAGGTTGCACAACAAATGTGGATTTAAAGTGTGGCCCGGTATGTTGACTAGTGATGGTTCCGCCGAAGGATGGAAGCTCAAACCTCATGAGACCATGACGATCAGCAGGGATGGAAACTGGTCCGGCCGTTTCTGGGGAAGAACAGGTTGCAAGTTTAATGGCTCTGGTGATGGGCGTTGTGCAACAGGAGACTGCAACGGATTAAAGTGAGTATACCATCCTACACTGAAAATCAAAGAGTTATACACCTCACTCTCTGAAGGGTGAGACATAACTGTATCACCGAAAAAGGGCGATACTAAAATATATCACCGAAAAAATGGTCGTACACGCATGTATCACCGCCACTGGTGCATACTCCCTGGGATCAACCCTTTCTTGCGGTCACTCCCCTGTACGCATTTTCTACTCAAACAACAAAATTTCTATGTATTTTTTTGTGCATGCGCGAAACTGCATTCGTTTCAAAATGTAGGACTTTTTGCGCAACTGCGCACGAAAATGTGCCTTGTTGCGCATAAAACTCCTGCATGTCTTGACTTCTGCACTCTAAAACACTCTAAAACGCATGCTCAGTTTCGTGCATAACCATGCAAAAAAAAACTACATATTAGTTTAGTGTGTTGACATAAAACTCAGTATGTCCAAAAATTTGACATGTCTGTAACAGTTTGATTCCTTTCGGTCCGACGGGACCAAAATTGCATCTTTTTCTCAGCACGGCGTGGCAGAGTGCGCAATGCGCACCGCAATGACTGAAACCTATCTTAATTTTCCAAGAATCAAGAGAGTCCATCATGTTAACCTGATCATCTTCTTATTTTCTGCAGCTGTCGCGGAGGTGGCGTGCCCCCAGTGACGTTGGCTGAGTTCACACTGGGAGGGTATGGTGGCAACGACTTTTATGACGTGAGCTTGGTGGACGGGTTTAACATCCCTATGAAGATACGTCCCAAAGGTGGAAGAGGTTCTTGCAGGGTGACAAGTTGCAAATCTAATGTGAACGCTGTGTGTCCAAACGAGTTAAAGGTAAGCCACAGAAAGTGGGAAATTTGATGGAAAGAATGGTTATTAACCAGAGGACTGAAAGAATCTTCATTGAAAGGCTCTTTACCCATTTCGTTCGGGGCTCAGTAGCTCACCACAGAAGAATCATCGCAGACGCAAACTTAAAGCGCAGAACATTATTGTTGACAATCCTCACAAGAAGGAGAATCGAAAATAATTACAAAGAAAGGTCCGCTCAAAAGAATATTTTTGCACAAATTCCTCACAGGACGGAAAATAATGGCACATCAAATCTCGAAAATCCTCCCTAACATTCTCCCATTGCACGAATTATCGTGCCAAGATTATTTGATGCAGAGAATCACTGTGCCAAAAAACCACAGAGAATCCCGTTAATATTTTTGCTGGGATTTACTGTAGTTCAGAACACAGGGCTTACTGTGCCTGGCTACAGTATTTACTGTACCTGGTACAGGATATTCCGTACTCCACTCCTGTGGAGCAAATCGCGTACGAAGTACAGTAGATCCTGTAAAAAAGTACAGGACATCCTGTACACTGAACTACAGTGACAGCTGTACTAACCACTACAGGATTTACTGTATTTTTTCCCCACAGTGATCCCCGCAGGAGAAAAAAAATTCCAATGCTAATCGCATTGCACGGTGTTCCCGTTTCCATAACTGGTTGAAAATCGAGGAAAACATGACAAGACAACCGCAGCCTTTGAGAGCATGCCAAACAATCCAACCACAGCAACAATGGAGGGGCAGTTTCAATGAGCGCCTGTTCGTTCTTTCAGCCTCGCGATTTTCGAAAGGGCGCAGACGGCAAGCATATTGGTGCCAACCCACGAAAATTAATTTGATGCGTCGTTTCTGCTACGAACTTTTTAGTAGTGACAGACTTTAAAGATGTTCCAACGTTGAGACACCGTGCAATGTGTTAGCATTAGCATTTTCGAATTTCACGGCGTTTAGATTTTTTTTAATGGGCGACTTTAAATTTTGACGGGTGGTACGATGGGACCATGCCGTTGCCATGGAGATTTTTTTTCATGTTTTGACCATTTACTCAGAACATATATGATTTCTTGTTACTTTGATGAGCCAGGAGGTTTAGTTTTGAGGAGTGGCACATTTTTTATTTGAACCATTTTTTCATATCATTAACGGTTCTCGTTTTCGATTGTTGCAAATTTATGTTTTTCGCGTTTACGGAAAATTTCCACGATGAATTTTCGAAAAAAATTGGAATTTTCGTTTTGTTCATGGTTGAAATAGTTTAGATTTGTTAATTTGAAAATCGGAGAGGGGGGGGGGGAAGAATCCACGGACCTCGGACAATAGGGGTTCTTGGGAACCCCTAAAAAATGCTCAGGGATTTACTGCGCCAAATAGAGTATCGTTCAAAATTAAGGGGACACGTTTTCAAAGTGGCCGCAAAACTTGAGTATCCAAGCTGGGATTCCTAAATTTTGTCAGAAGATGCCCCCAAAAGTCCGCGATTCCTGCAGTGAGCCGCGCCTGAATGGAAGGCAACCATCGAGTTTTTCCGTCTTTTCATGTTTCTGCCGTTTAGATTTTAATTTGATAGTGTTAGGAATAACTTTACAATTGTTAAAACAAATGAAATTCTTAGCTTAAATCGGACAATGCAGCGGTTATGCGAAAACTAAAAATAAGTGTTACACTGGTGAAAATAAAACGTAACTCTCTGCTTGAGTAAAGCATTTAGTTACGCTTGCAGACGTTACGCTTGAAATGAAGCTTACACTTGGAACTCCCCCATGCATTTACATAGAGGGAATCTTTGCGGATGAACCTGTTACGCTTGTTTCCGAGCGTAAACTGATAACCCTTGCAAGCATAGTTTGACTACGCTTGAGTTTTACCAGTGAACTAGGTATCCAACCCTTCCCGTCGTAGGTCAAGGTCTCCGCAAACCTGATTTCTCATACCGCATCAATGTACTTCTTCTGGTTAGGTTCCGGTCCGGATCGCGTTGGGAAACTCCCATTGCAAGGAATTGCAGGACGACTCAAGTTCAAGTTACCGATCAATAGAGTCCTCTCCCTGTTGCCATTCTTCAGCGTATCATCTCTGCAACGAGTTTAAAAACCCTGATTCCGGACCGAACTCCTTCTAAAAGCACAAGAGCTCCTGAGACAGTGGATTATGGCGCGGCGCCTCTTCGGGGAACCCCTGGGACGCCGGCCGGGTCGCTGAACTGGTTTCTGTTTTGTTTTGCACTGGGGCCAGATAAAACCAGTCTCGCTCACGAGGTCATGGGGGGTTTTCGGGCCAAGGCCGGCACAGGGTCGGCGGGGAACCCCCTGCCGCTCGTTGGGCAAGGTCACGGGCAGTGGGAGTCCACAGGGGTGCCGTTGCAGTTATGTACCCCCCCACACATGATTCACTTGACGTGCTACGTGCATTAACTGACGTCAATAGAACAATATTCATAATCGGCAAACATGGCAACAAATAAATTTCTTGTTTCATTTTAAGGTTTGGAACGGGAACTCCGTCGTGGCATGCAAGAGTGCGTGCCTTGCATGGGGGGAGTCCCAATATTGCTGCACTGGCGCTCACAACAAGCCGGCCACCTGCCCACCATCCACTTTCAGTCGGATCTTCAAGGACACCTGCCCTGATGCCTACAGCTATGCATACGACGATCTGACAAGCACGTTCACGTGTTCAAGTGCAAACTACGACATTACTTTCTGCCCATAGAGAGCTCAGAGAACAGGCAACGTTTCAGGGAAGATGAAAAGGAAAGTGGCGATTTTAAAACATAACTTCAACCCCTTCAATACAAGTGAAATATTAACGAATTTCTTTATTATTATTACGGCTATTCTAAAAATGAATGTAAACTGAAACAAATAAAAGTTTTCGGGAAAGTTGTCGGTTACCAATACTTTATCCTATTATTTTCCTTCGGACTGAGCTCGACGGAAATATGCCGCCCCGGTTTAATCTATTATTTTAAGGAAGGACCCTACTGAAAAGAACGGCCAAAATTGTCCAAAACAGTACGTTTTGCATTTGTACAGTAAGTTCTCAGCTTTGAGATATTGCGTAGAAGGTTTCAGATTGAGTGGTTTCAAGCTTTAAGTTACGTGGGTAGTTTCTCGATCATTCGGAAACACTAACTACGAATACGCGCGGTTTAGTTCGGGCGCGTAGTGACAGAGCGATGCGACTTGACAGCGTGAGTGCACGTCGGAACTCGCTGTGCACGGATGGTCTTTGTGACATTGGAAGGTGCCACACTTTTTGCAAACTTACAGGCGCATGACCTGGATTGCTTCTCAACACTATTATCAACTATTATCCGTCTAATACAAATGTAGTTATATTTAGTTATAACTATTATTTTAACTACGCACATATTTGTGCGTAGTTGCGCACAAATTCGTGCATTTTGAAACGCATGCACAGTTTCGCGCGTACCTTCAACACCAAAAACTACACAGGAATCTAGTTTGAAGTAGATTATCCCGTTCTGAGAGACAAACAAATTTTCGTTTCCAATGGTCCGTGAAGTCGCGGTCCTAGTTTATCAGAGCTGGGCCCGGCAGGCCTTCGCCGCTTCATCAATTTACCAATATGGTGCCAAGGCCACACACGTAGTAGAGATAAAGGCGGCTGCAGTTGACAGCACTGTGCTGCGCGCCCAAACAGATCAGTTGGAGGCGTGCTTCGCTTCCGCGACGTTCGGCGTCGGTTCGGCGTCGGTCGTACTTGTTTACGATCCGTCTCAAGATTCTGGCGACCCTTGCCTTCGCGTCTACCTGTTCCGGAAAACGGCCCAGATCATTGTCTGCCCTCAATATGGAGATAGACGTCAGTCTACTGCTTTACGATGAGTACAACTGCCCGGTGTTTGTCATGAATGATTATCACGCCAAGAACTTTATGGCACTCTTCATGGCTTTGCAGCCCATAGCTTTTCAGAGAAACTGGGGTGCAATTAAGGTTCGACTTCATTGTTGGAGTTTGATGAACGCGAAGCCTAGTCTCTTTGATGTTCGAAATCAGTGTTTTAAAAACTTCCGGCCCCTCTGCAGCTACGCTTCAGTGATGAGTTAGTGAGAGACGTCAACGTGTGGTCTCGTCGGCTCCTCGACCACTTGCAGGACAACGTGAAAACAATCAAGGCCCCATTCGAGGTCCAAGCGTTTGTAAAGTCCGGAGATAAAAGTGCTTACGACTTCCGACGCCTCAGAACAACCAGAAAACTGCGTGAAAGCGACATAAAGCCATTGGCCGATTATCTCGATGGCGCTGCCACATCTGAAAACTGCTGGTGAGTAGAGCACAAGTGTTTCAAAGAACAAGCAAGGGCCCACCCTCTCATCAAACCCAAAATGGCAAGTAGCAGAGCAGGCCACCCTGCGGGCCTTCGGCTCTCGCATCCGACACCCCGTGAGGGGAAATCGCAAAGTTATCGATCGGCCATCCTGGCTGAGGCGCACCCTTCTATAAACAAAATATGGACAAGTCTCTTCTGTTTACTCTACTCTACATATCCGAAACCGAGGCCCATTAAATTTGTCTCGTCGACTTGATTCCAAAAATACCCGTATTTGTCTTGCTTCAAACATTGCGCCCGTTTGAAGTTATTTCAATCTCTTCTAAAACGTGTTACAGTGAGCGGGTGCTCCGGGAGGATGGTCTTAACCGCTACTTCATGCATTACTGGGACCACATCGAAAATATAGCCTCCGACAACAACCCGGCTCGAATAACGGAAGTAAAACAGCCACTCTATTATGCTGCCGGATTTTCTCCGCCTCCGGGAAGTGACCTCAATGCTGCTGGTATTAACTTTGATGACTTCGGTTGCCTTCTGAACAACTTAGAAGAGAAGATCAAAGGGATATCAGACCCCTTGCTTTACATCGGCAAAGCGCTGAGTACTGCAGCTTTGCATGACGAGGACGCTTCTCTAGCATCCCTGAACCTGCTCATAAGCGGATCAAACAAAGCATGGTACGATTAATGAAGACCGACATTGCCTGAGAACGGCCATCGACCACCGGGGGGGGGGGGATTAAAACTAAGGAAAATTCTGTAAACAAGTGTGAGGTGCTGCGGAGAATACCGACAAGAGGGTTAGGGAGAATCTTGTCAAAAAAATAACAGAATTTTGCCGCAGTGTACGATGGCGAGGAAAATTGCGTACACGTTTTGTGCACTTATTTGCGCATTTGAATTTGAAATATGTTAAGTACGAAAAGAACTTTTTGAAATAGATCAGGGAGCCGAATTGGTGGAAGTAATTCTATTTAACTACGCCAAAAAGTTTGCAATTTTTTTAACACAAATAAAAGTTTTGGAAAAAATCTGCAAGTAATTTGTACAACCATAATACGATCTTTTCCTATTTTAAAGAACTACTTAGGAAATATGAAATGGACAGCGCATTAGTCATACTTACAAAATACCAAGTATTATTGTTGCTTAAAATGAGAAAAAAGTCAGTAACGTGCTGAGTGTGTGGCAAAAATTGCTAAATGTGCAAAAAATAGTTACATTGCGACCCCGTTGGCGCCAAAGTGTAGAAAATTGAAGTGGCTTGCGCGTGAACAAGAAACAAATGTCTAACATAAGGTAAAATTTAGATAAAAAAACCTGTTTTCGGATCTTGCAAATATTGACGTTACTTTTTTTAACGTAAAACTTTTGACTTCCGGTTGGTCGATGTTCATGGCTCTAGATCAACCTTCTTTCTACACTACAAACCTAACTGAAAGTGCAACTTACAAACGCATGCTTGACGCATGGAGTTATACGGCGTCAAGCATGCGTTTGTAAGTGTGTACTTGCAAGCATGCATTTGTAAGTGTGTACTTAGTAGACAGTTAGGTTTGAAGTGTAACTGCATATGCATGCCCACGTTAATATGTCTGTTTTTATGTTACAGGATAGTTTACAGTGGTGCATTCGTTTTCGATCTGCTTGAATATCTAAAAACAGTGCCTCTTAATCTGGCTGACAAAAGTTGTTCCAACGCATTGCACCATAAAACATTCATAACAAACCCGGATTGTATGCCGCCTTCTTTTCATGTGCCCTATCAAAAGGTGAAATTATTTTCACACGCGAATTCGTATGCTGAGTGGCCGGAACATAAGTCATTCAACAGACATTATACCAGTTTTGCCATGCAGCTTAAACGAAGTTAAAAGAAGTCTGATTTTGTTGGCTGAGTGATAGAGAAGTTGGAGCTGGAATTGCGCGACAAGTTTCCGGAAAGACATTGAAAAAAAAGGTGCAGTTTCCTATTTTGTGCCTAGCCTCAGAAGAGTTGGAAGGATTCATCCTGCAAAGTAGGGGAAAAGTCCGACTTTTTGTCGGTAAGTAGGCGGAAAGGGTCGTTCAATAGAGGTCCCTGACCCAGAAGGACAATCTTGTCTGGTCCGGAAATAAGCAGATTTCTGTGTTTTTGTACAGAAGTTCTTACAAGTTCACCAAAAACGGAACGTTTTCAACGTGTTAACGCTTAGAATGCAATGTTCACTGTGTTAACCATTAACAAGGTAGGTTTACGCCAGACCGCGTCTTGTCGTAACAGGCTTCGCGATGTCTCGCTGCCTGCTCCTCCAATCCACGCCTGGCGTACCTACCTTGGCCTGCGGCGCTAGCCTGCCTGCGGCAGGCAATGGCTTGTCCGTTGTCGGTTATTTTTTAACTTGTTGAATGCTGGGGGGCTCCGCCCCCCAGACCCCCCTACATTCTAAATAGAGTTGTTTTATCTACAAATAACACGATCTTGACCCTTGTCACTTTTCAACTTGTCGTAGCTGGGGGGCTCCGCCCCCCAGACCCCCCTCTCTCCAAGACAGAAGTGGTCTATCTGCAGAAATCTCTATTTTTCGCCGTTTTTTAGGTGTTTTTCGCCTATAAAAACTGAACCAGTTGAGCTAGGATGGTGAAATTTCGCGTGTGCCGAGCCAAGGACATACCCAAGAAGGGGTCGTCCACATATTACGTAATCACCTTGGGGGGAGGGGGAGGTAGAGCTGAGGCTTACGCTTGATTACTGAGGGGAGAGGGGGGTGACCATCTTGATTACGTAATCAAATTTTTTGGTCACTCAATGCAATGTTGTTGATCTAAACATCTACGAAATACTGCAGTATCGCGCAGTAGATACACCGATACCGAACTCACTTTCACATCCTCGGAAAGACACATTGATGATTTCGAGCATTTATCATTTCACTAAGAAGCTCCTTTGTCAAGGCGAAATGGATTTAGGAGGTTTATAAAATGAATGAAAATCTGTACATTAATGAGAACAACCGTCAATGCCGTAAAAGAGGATTAAACGGAAAACTTCTGAAATTCTTCTCAGTGATCGTTTCGAGACAAGGTACACACAAGTTCGGGTGCTGGCAGAGACGCTTTAACTAGGTCACCGCTCGGTAGTATCATTGATCATAGGAAATTATTTCAGCGGGATAGTCACCCCCTCTACTGCATGGTTAAAACGGTTCCTGGCTGTTCCAGGATCTCCCCGGAAAACGACTGAGTCTCACCCATAGGTTGAAATAATTTTTTTTATCACTCGTACCGTGTTTGGAAACATATAACCGCTGGATCTGGATTCCTCTCATTTTTTTGAATATTTTGCAGATTACGTAATCATACGCGAGGGGGGAGGGGGCCTAACCGTTGATTACGTTTGATTACAAGGGGGAGGGGGAGGTGAAAAATCCAAAAATCGTGATTACGTAATATGTGGACGACCCCGAAGTGTGCAAAATCTCACCGAGATCGGCCGAGCCGTTCAGGAGGAGTAGTGCGGACACACAGACACACAGACAGACAGACCAAACTTTTCAACCCCACTGGAGTAACAGGCTTCGCTATCGCTCAGCCAAAAACAAGTCAAACTCACCGGAGAGAAATGTAAGGCACCTCAAATACACTGTAGAGCTGTAGGGACTATGGTCGATTGGTTTGTCCATGAAAAACGCTGCAGCTTTAATTCTGTGTGCTTTCCTTTGTACGGGACCTCCATGAGACTCAGGCTAAATCCACCAGGATTATAATTGTGTAGGGTGTTAACCACGTAGAAAAATGTTGAAACATGCTGCCCCGTCCCACACTTGAATTCATAGGCCAAGAATGGCGTCAATCGGAGCAGCAATGTCACGTTCGGTGTGTATTGGCCAAACCAGCTTATTCACATTCAAACGAACGTGACACAATGCTCAAACGAACGTGAAAGTTTGTCACGTTCGTTTCAACGTGATGTCACCTTCCTGGAATGAGAGCGCAACCGGCAAAAATTCCTTGGTCCGAAAAAATGAAAAAAAAAAAAAAAACGTCTCCCATTTGGCGCCAAAGCGTAGCCAGGAGAGTGCCCCCCTTTTCATTGTCAAACGGTTTTTTACTGGTAAAGCTAGAGCGTTTTTCTACGCTTCATTCAAGCGTAAAATTACGCTTGAAGGCTTTACGCTTTTCTTGAAGCGTACAGGCTTTTCCCACATGCCTTTAGATAGGAGGAAGGGAGCGCGTGGTACGCTTCAAACAGAGCGTACAGACTGTACAAGAAGCGTAATGCCACGCCTTAATTTCACCAGTGTAACATTTAACTTGTTTGCAGATTTTGCAGAGGCCTGGCGAGTTCGTTCTTACTTTTTATTGCTCAGCTCACCAAGTTTCCAACCTTGGAGACAACCTTGCCGTGGCTCGCAACTTAGCAGACGAAAATTGGGTGCCCTTTGGCCTGTATTCTCAAGTCAGTGAAGGATGCACATGCATGTGAGTAACTAACTTCCTCTAAGAAAAAGTGTGAATAGCACCAGAGTACAACAATAACTGTACATTAAAAGTACAACAGGGATTGTGTAAACCTCAACGAGGCCTGGACTGCCCAGCACTCGTCATGCCGGTTCCATTGTCCTTTGTTCAAGAATTGTTGTACTTTGAAAGTACAATAAATTCCTGATAAAAAATTTGCCGGTAATTTGTGTACTTTTGCTGTGGTATTTTCTTGCAGTGTACTCCATCACATTACTGCTATAGTTGATGATTAGTTGGCCATTTTTAAAATCATTTTTTAAGAGTGAAACGAAAAATACACGTGCTAATCCAAGTGTGGACCAAGTCCACGTTTCATTGCGTGGACCAGCCTGGCCCTCAATTCCATCCGTGGACGAACCGTCCACCTCTCCTTACGTGGACCACTGCGGACCACGGTTTGGTCCACGCAACGGAACGTGGCCTCGGTCGTCCACACTTGAAGTGGCAGTGTAAGAGCTCCTCTGATAATTTTGCCCTTCCTTCGACGAATCGGGTTGAGCTTTCTTTTGTACCTTGCATGCGACCTTTACCCTCACACATCTCACTTAAGGTATGAATGCGTCAAGGATTAATAGGTGAGGCGTGTAAGCTTAAGCTTAACACGTGGCAGCGTCAGATTTACTTAACAGGACCCCAAACTCCCATGCAATAGATTCAGACTTACTTAGGTTTACGTAACAAATTTTGTCGTTTCTCCCAAAGTCTTCTCACGAATACACTGTAAGAAATCGGCGCGTACCGTAGAACGGGGTAATATGAGACAAATTTCGAGGTTTTTTGAGAATTTCCCCTTTTTAATTTCAATTTGGGGTACTGAGGTGTTCATCACTTGTTCATTGACCCTTTGGCTACACTCCCACCAAATTTCAGGTTTTTAGGTGCAGTAGGGACTTTTCAATAACCCTCGGAATGCCGTCCCATATTTCCCTGCAGTGTGGGGTAATATGAGACAAAAGAAAGAAATGTTAAAGAAGTATGGAGAACTAACTCTTTTAGGCGGGTTTGGAGCTTTTAAAGTTCTTTTCACTCATTTTAAAGACGATTGGCAACTATAATGGAGACGATATAAAATCCGGAGGGGAGAAAAATGGGTGTCACTAAAGAGAGCTGGAAATGTATAAGAAGTCATGAGTTGTGCCTGTCACATAAAAACACTAAACGAAGAGCACAGATGCCGGTCAGATAGAAAATCAAATTCGAGTTAAAATCATTATTACTTGAAATTATTAACAGTGGAGTATGTTTGGCCTCATGTTTCAAGCGAAAAGAGGTGTCTCTATTTTCCCTGCAAGGTAACAAAATTGTGTTCCATCTGGAACAGGCAGCCCGGGAGTAGACATAAGGGATCATGCACATACCACGTGACCCAAAAAAGGCCACTTTTGAACCCCTCCCTCCCCCCTTGTGACCCTCTGTGACTTCCAGGACCCCTGCCCCCCTCCCCCAAAAGTCACGTGGTAATTTTGGAATTTGATAATTGCTTTTTAGTAAGACTGCCTCGCCAACATTGTCGTCTTTTCATTGTTTCTTGGCTTGCGTAAGATTCGGGTGTGAATAAGAAAGCTTTACCACAGCTGGACAGGACTTGAAAGGATCACACTAAATGACTATGTAGGTTTTCATGCGCACCCGCGTACGGAATTAAATATGCATGCAGAAATTCGTGTAATGTTACGCACAAATTTACGCGCAACGTAACGCATGTTTAATTTCGTACGTTGCGTATGCATAAAAACCAACATAGTGAGTGTGTTAATGGATTACTGTTGTTGCTTGCACACTGAAAACCTAGCAAGAAATCTGACTTGTTTGTTATAGAAAGATTGTTTTTGGCATGATTAATCGTTTGTTCGCTCTTGGCAAACCTCGTGTCCGTAATTTGCAAAGAACGTGTTTGCTTTATGAACTACAAGGTAGGTTTACGCCAGACCGCGTCTTGTCGTAACAGGCTTCGCGATGTCTCGCGGCCTGTTCCTCCAATCCGCGCCTGGCGTACCTACCTTGGCCTGCGGCGCTAGCCTGCCTTCGGCAGGCATTGGCTTGTCCATCATCGGTGACTTCTAACTTGCATACTGGGGGGCTGCCCCCCTTTATTCTAGATAGAGTTGTTTCATCAACAGATATCACAATCTTGATCCTTGTAACTTTTTAACTTGTCCTGGCTGGGGGCCCCGCCCCCCAGACCCCCCTTCCTTCAACACAGAAGTGATCTGCCTGCAGAAGACTCGATTTTTCGCCGTTTTTTAAGCGTTTTTCGGCTATAAAAACTGAACCACGTGAGCTAGGATAGTGAAATTTCGCGTGTGCCGAGCCAAGAATATACCAAATAAGCCTGCAAAATCTCACCGAGATCGGCCGAGCCGTTCAGGAGGAGTAGTGTACACACACAGACACACAGACAGACAGAAAAAACTTTTTAACCCCACTGGAGTAACAGGCTTCGCTATCGCTCAGCCAATTATTTGAAGGCTTGCTCGCAAAATTACGAATGCACAGTTCTTCGCAAGTTAAAAAAAGCATTGGTTTGTGGTTTGAGTGGTTTGTAAAGTGAATTACACATTCCTCGGCAAGAGTGTGCTGTAGCAAATGTCATTTAAATTCAAGTGTCACCATCTTTAATTTTGTTTGGGATTTTGAATAGCTCATTCCCCCCCCCCCCCGATACCTTTAGTTTACAAGAGGTATCTTCCTCTGTTTATTTTTACTATATACATATGCGTATACATAGTCCAAGCTCTATAGTCCAAGCTCTATAGTCCAAGCTCTATAGTCCAAGCTCTATAGTCCAAGCTCTATAGCTCTATAGTCCAAGCTCTATAGTCCAAGCTCCATAGTCCAAACTCTAAGGTCCATAGTCCAAACTCTAAGGTTAAGTTCCATAGTCCAAACTCTAAGGTCCATAGTCCAAACTCTAAGGTTAAGTTAGGTTAAGGTTGGGATAGGTTAGGTAAGGTTGCGTTAGGTTAGGTTTCAGTTTGAGAATAAGATCTGTCGCGAGTAGGGTAAGATTTGTCGCGAGCCCGTTAGGTTAGGTTAGACCATTTAGTTTGAGAATAAGATCTATCGAGAGTAGGGAAAGATCTGTCACGAGTAGAGTAAGATCTGTTACGAGCCCGTTAGGTTAGGATTGGTTGGACAATTAAGTTTTAGATCATTAAATACCCTTCCTTCGATTTAAGGAGAAACCAACCATTGTCGAATCACAATCCTTCGTGCAAATGCATACTTCCTGGCTATCACCCCCCCCCCAAAAAAAAGAGACCCATTTTTAAAATAAACACATCCAAATTTACTACTGATGAAAATGCATTTCCATCTCCAGCAGAATCCAGCTCAGCATCGAGGCCGAAGGCCTTCGCCTGGCTAGTAAAAACAATGTGCAGTGCAGTCCGTTTAGTTCCGAAATATTCATGTCACGTGACTTCTTGGAACACACAGCCCCCCCCGTCCCCCCTTGTGACTTGCCGTGACTTTTTCGAAACCCCTCCCTCCCCCTAAATAGGTCACGTGGTATGTGCACGACCCCTAACGGAACCAAATTTTGTCCTGATTATGTGGACATGATTGCCTACAGATTTAAACCTCGTTCGGACGAGAACCTGAGTTCTAACCGAGGTTTCTGGGGAGGTTTTTACTAACTTTATAAAACTTGTTAGAATTTGGAGGTTTTTCCGTTGGTTCTAAATAACCCTGGCGAGTCTCTGATAGCCTTCGTGCGTTTCCCGTGAGCTGCCACGGCCTCCTAGATCACGAAAAAAAATTAACGGTGGTCTTCCGAACGACCGCTAGAGAGCAACGTGACAAAAACCGAAAAAAGTGCGCTTTGTCTCGATTTTCCTTCATGTCTCATATTACCCCGTTCTACGGTACTCATAGAAAAGATCCAAGATTTTAACTGTCAGAGCAGATCCAAGACAATCGTACTGTTAGTGTCGATTCAGAACCATCCTAACAGCACATGACGTAACAAGCAGTCTTTTCTCATAGCTCATCACGCAAACATGTTTCAAAAGTTACTTGCCGAAGGGCTTCGTAAAAAGTTCCATCCTTATACCAATAAGGCAAAAAATCAATTGTGGGTCACATTTTTGAAAATTCTAAATTAAGGCCTTTAATTTTGACCTGATGACAAAAGTGCATGTGCGACCTTTAACAATGGTCCTTGGACTAAGTTTTGCAGCATAGCAGCCCCGTCTATCATCCTTCCTTACTAAGCTGTGGCTGTTTTAAAAATAGTCTGTTTTGGCCCACAATTGATGTTTGGAACCAGTTGTGGTTCAGCATTATAGGAAGCTCAAATTTGGATATGATTTGCTTAGATGCGAAAGGAATTCACTTTTGAATTTATTTTTCGGAATCGTGAAAACTGCAGGATCTGTAGCACAATGAATCAATTGTGGGTCATATCAATTGTGGGCCATTTCGTCTTTTTGCTTGTAAATTGGCCACTTTTGCAAGATATTTTCTTATTTTCATTAATAAAAGGTCCCTGGTTCTCAATAAACCAAGCAGGCACGTTTTTCACTCAAAGAGGAAAAATACATGTACAGGCTTATTTCACTGTGAGACCGATGTGAGTTAAACGTCCTGGATTAGAGACGAAACTTTTACAGTGCATATTCTAGGGCGGCCGTTGTGGTAGACAATCCAACACCACACCCTGTCATCGTGAAGTATTGCTACAGTTTATAATCTATTTCAGTCAGAATATTTAGTCTGTAGGGATTAATTTGACTCGTTTTAACAGGGCCGGACTGGCCTCGGGTGCCTAGCCTGCAGTTAGAGAGCGGTCCCCTTCCGGGCGCTATGTAAGCCCCGCAATGCCCCCCCTCCCTCCCCAACAAAAAAGAAGCCTTATGGCGGACTGGAAGTAAGAGCTAGCGTTGTCATTCGGGGCTGTACCCTAAGCTTAACCACCTTCCTATCGTAGTACTAAATGTATCAGTGCAGAAAAAATGGAATTTACTGTGATACATCAGTCATTCAGAAGCGCTGAAAACAAAAAAAATATATGAAAAACTGCCGTAAAATTCGTCTAAAGTAATGAGTCGGACATGGTAGCGAACGCTACTTTGCCATCACCCGCGCACCATGGCATCGAATGATTTCGGCTGTACTATGGTAAATTTATGTTCCCTGACCTATTATGAACCTAAATCAGCAAGGGCGTCCCGTTTTACCTAGTAATAGCTTCACGGTGGCAATTTGAAAAACACACGATTTTTCGCTTCGTTGGATGGGCGCTTTTTTCACGACTTTTTGAAGGGCCTTCCTTTGAAGCCTGATAGGAGCTGTCACAGTCGTCGCTCGGACATACACGCTATTTGGGGAGACAAAGAAAGGTTGGAGGAAGGTCTACCGCGAAATTCAAATCGATTCAATCTCCGTCGGGTCTGCGGTGACCCGTCGAAAAAAATGACCCACAATTGATTCGTGACCCACAATTGATTTTTGGCCCTGTTACAGTTGTAACATCTCGGGCGGAGACGCTAGCAGCGGGCTGGCGGGGCCGCCGTAGATTTAGGCAACCCCTCCGGCCCGCCGCGCTTCCAGTGTAGGCGCTCCGCTCCGAGCGTAGTTTCACGCCGAGCCACCGGCCGTCCAAGCGCTAGTTTGCGTGTCGGCCTGCCCCTTCCCCTCTCGCCCAGCGGTTTGCCGGACGAGCGAGAGAGAGGGCATTTGGTGTGTGGCTGCAGTTCGGTACAGTGGTGCGGTGTTTTGATCAAGTTCCGTAGAGCAAGCCGATTTCTAAGTGAATGGTGCGGCTGTAGTGCATTGATTAACTATCCTCCGGACTGGTGTTTTGGGCGTGCCTGCCGTTCGAGCTGTTTGGGGTAAGCGAGTGACGAAAAAGAAACAACAACTCGAGTGTAACTCCGCCTTCGGCCGGCCCGTAACCTCTCTCTCTCGCCTTGTCTATCTTGTAGTGTGCCGTGGCGGTTTTCTCGGCTGTCTCTCTCCAAAGGGACATGAGCGGCTAGGACGCCGTAGGCGAGGGGCGTCTCTCCAGGAAGAAAGATGTGACCGTTGAGGCAGTATGGGGCCCGGTGCGTCAACGAGCTATGACTCGGCGCCGCGGCCCCGTTGTCGACGCGGACGTGCGTAACACCTGCACGCCGTGTTCGCCCGCGCCATGAAGCCACCCAGTACCGACTCCAACCCGCCATGACCTGGTATGAAAGAGAGAAATAGTTTCGCCCACCTTGTTTATTATGATTCTGTCAGCTATAGTTAGAGGGAGGGCGGACGGAAGGCAAGTGTTGCGTGGCTCGCGCTTCACTCTCCGGAAACCCTCTCTTCTAATATCGTCGAGAAAATTGATAGTGTAGCGGTGTGAGAGTCAGGGACACGGCGGACGCTTCGCGTGTTAATTTGTATCGAAAATCCGGGGGCGCGGGCGTCTCGAGGAGGCAAGGGCCGCGTGTTACGCGCGGCCTTCGCTCGTGACGTCCCCGCCCTGGTTTCTTTTGCGTTGTAATTTCGTTTCCATTGACCGTTCCGCCGCGTCCCCGATTTGTCTTCTTCATACTAGTTTTGTTATTGTATATAGTGTTTAGCTCTTTAAATGGAGTTCTTGCAGTTTAGTTTTAGTATCGTTTATCCACACGGCCGGCTTTTTTTTTGTGTATAGATTGCTTCTTGTTTAATAAATGTTTGTTGCATTTACATTGTGGTCTCTCTATTTGGTGGAGCTTTGCTCCTGGCGCCCTTATAATATCAATATAAATAAATCAAAGCCAATTGAGATTGAGAGGAGCTCACGCCCTCTGCCGCAGAACGTTCCGACCAGCCGGCGAACGAGAAATGAGGAGAGTAGAGTTACATTTTGGCGCCCAACGTGGGGCCTATTGAAATTTACTTAGCCGATTTAGTATGCCGTGTGGATTAACTTTGTCTTGTTGGTGACTTTAGAGGTTATGATTTTGTTGTTGGGGAGTGCCCCCGCTTTTCTGTTTGTTGTTATTTGTTAACAGTGTTATTTTCAGTTGTGCTATTGTAATTAGTTGTGTTTTTCTAGTTGGCTTCCAGTTGCAATGTCTATTGTTTTATTAGGTGACAGCATTCTGGTGAGGCTTCTTAGCCTTTATCCTGCTGCCTTTGATTCACTCAGCAGTAAGTTTTGCGTGAGTGGCCTCAAGGTTCAGGAGCTTTGGGCCTTAGTCAAGTTGCATTTTAAGGAGCTAAAGGGGAAGACGCTTGTTGTGTTGATTGGCACTAATAACATTCTCCAGAATCAACCTAAATCTGAATTACTGCGGTATTACCGATCTCTAATTCGCTATTTGAAACGGTTGTCTGGTGCAGTGTATATCGTTGAGGTTCCGCCGATTCCCCGTATCGAGCAGAAAGCTACTGCTACCTTATTAGCTCAACTAAATTCTTATGTTCGGAGCTTTGAGCCCGCTACCGTTGTTGTGCACTGTCACGATCGTTTCCTGGTTGAAGGAAAGGCTGATCGTTCCTTGTTTGTCAAAAGGTATAAAGCCACTGGCCGTGTGGATCTAGTTCATCCGAACAGGTTGGGATTGCATAAGTTATTTGAGTGTATAGGGGAAAAAATTCCCCAGCTGATGCAATTCTTCTTCCCGTAGTTCGGAGTTTTGGTATTTTTGCTGTAAAAATCTTAGAGTAAGGTTTTGTATTTATAGTTTACTTAGTGATAAGTGTCTATTTAGCTATCGTTGGGAGTTGCTGAAAAGGTTTGTCAGCCACTCTCAACCTTACCAGTTCTTGTTTTTAATTTGTGTGTTACCTTAATGGTTCCAGCTGCGCGGCGTAGTGGAGTCGGTACGAGGTGTGACTGTCGGCTTTTGGCGGAGCGTGGCAGTCAAGTTTTATTGGTCGGCGTGTGTCGCCGGTTGCGGTCGTCGTGGAGAGGCGCCCTTTCGTCTTCTTGTTTGCGGATACATCGTTTAGTGAGTAGACATGGCGAAGTGGGTGGGGGAACTGTCGAAGGAGGAGTTGAACTTTGAGTTGTTGTATAGGAGTCACCCAGTTGATTACAAAGGCACTACCGCGGCTAAGATGAGGGACATTTTGCTAGGGTTGCTGGAGAAGGAGAAGGATGGGCCGTTGGAAGACGGAGTGACCGCTACTGTTGAGGAGGAGTTGGCTATAGCGGAGTTGAAGCTTCAGACGGCCGAGTTGTCACTTTCGATGGTTACTGGAGGGGAAGGTGATGCCAGAGCTTCAAAGTTAAGGGCGGGTTTGTCCCATTTAAACAGGCGTATCTCCCGTCTCCTACCAATGGCTGTCGGAGAAGAGAGGGAGAGAGTAAAGGACGCGCTTGTTCAACTCAAAGATTTAGTTGCTAAATTCCGAGATTTGGGAGAAGGCAGCGTTTTCAACGCGACTGTAGTGATGTCCGTTTCTGCCAAGAAGGAGCGTAGTGAGAAAGACGATAAGAAAAATAAGGAAAAGAAGAAGAATAAGAAGAGTAAAGCGAAGGCCAAGGTTAAAGTAGAGTCGGAGAGTTCTAGTGAGGAGAACACCGACAAGACTGATAGTAGCTCAGAAGAGGAGACTAAGAAAACTCCTAAATTTGCTAGATCCCTAGATGTGCATAAATGGGGTCTTAAGTTTAACGGCCTTGGTGAGGGAACTAGTGTCTTGTCATTTATAGCTGACGTTGAGGAGAAGGCTAGCTGGAAGGGCATAGATGTTAATCATCTTGTGGCCGGTGCTTCCGAGTTCTTTGAGGGTCAGGCGAAAACCTGGTTCAGAGGTATTAGGTCTAAAATAGATAGCTGGTCAGAGCTGAAAATTGCTCTGAGGAAGCAATATCTTCCTCTTAACTACTACGAGACTCTCTGGGAAGAGATCAGGAGTAGGAAGCAAGGTAGCAATGAGTTGATGGGCACTTACGTGGCGAACATGATTGGCATGTTTGGATGGCTTGAGCTAGGAGAGAAAGTCTCAGACGAGACTAAACTGGCGATCATCCAAAGAAATCTCGCTCCTTTCTACTTAGAGAAGTTGGCGTTGACGCCGGTGCGTTCCTTAGAGGAGCTTAAGACTCTGGGGAAGCAGCTAGAATTCAGCAAGCAACGGGTGGAAGGTTATGACGCGGGAAAGAGTAAGAGTAAGCCAATCGCTCCGGAGTTCGCGTACAAACAGCCCACAGTTCGGAAGCCTGTTGTAAATGAAGTAAACCCTGTAAAGAAGATGATTTGTTGGAAGTGTCGTGGAGAAGGACACTCCTTCTCGACCTGCACCAAGGAACAGAAAGGAACCTTCTGTTACAAATGTGGTAAGCAGGAAGTGACTACCAAGACCTGCCCGAAGTGTTCTAAGCCTTCCCCTAAGGGGAAGCCTGAACAGAAATCGGGGGAATAAGTCGGGGTTCCTACAGGGACCGTGTAGGAGGCTCCAGATGGAGGAAGGTCCCTAGACGGGGTTCTAACCCCACTTTCCAGAAAGGGAGTTCTGGTGCTTATGTGTTAGAGTTGAAGTTAAATGAAGAAGATAATAGAGTTTATATGCCTGTTCAGTTGTTTGGCTTAGAATATAATGGTCTCATGGATTCTGGAGCGACCAGGTCAGTCATCGGGATGAGAGGTTGGTCTAAATTACAAAGGCTAGGAGTTGTTTTAAAACTCGCGCATTGGACCGCAGTGAGAGTGGCTAACGGTAGAGTTTGTCCAGTATTGGGCTCTTTAGAGATAACCGTGGAACTCGAAGGCGTGTCGCGCGTGGTTAACTTCTTGGTGGTACCTGACATAAGGCATGAGCTAATCCTAGGAGTCGATTTTTGGCGTATTTTTGGGCTCGTCCCGGACGTCACTAATATGACTTGTGCAGTAAAGCAGTCTCTTAATCCTTGTAATACTAAACTCATAGCTGAGGCAGAGGTAAGTGCCGCAGAGGTGTGGCTGGAAGATCTAGTAGTCTCGGAGGATATGTTGTCGGAGGAACAGAAGGTGACCCTTAAGGCCACTGTCGATAAGTTTAGACCCACTTTAGGCAGGGCTAAGCTTGGTTGTACTCATTTGATTCAACATAAAATCGACACGGGCGATGCCCCTCCTGTTCGACGCCGGTACAATTCATATTCTCCGAAACTTTTGCAAGTTTTGCACTCTGGGCTTGACGAATGGCTGGAACAAGATGTAGTAGAGAAGTCAAGTAGTCCTTGGGCTTCGCCGGTGCTCCTGATTAAGAAGCAGGATGGCAAGTCATGGAGGTGGGTTGTAGACCTTCGCAAGGTTAACGAAGTGACGAAGGGTGATTCATATCCCCTTCCGAAAGTTAACGACATTCTTGACCAGCTTCGCGATGCCAAGTATATATCTTCCATTGACTTATCTAGTGCCTATTTCCAAATTCCGCTTGATGAAGCTAGCAAGGAGAAGACAGCTTTCATTGTACCAGGTAGAGGCTTGTATCAGTTTAAGCGGATGCCGCAAGGCTTGCACACTTCGGCCGCTACCTGGCAAAGATTCATAGATACTGTTCTTGGTGAGGATCTCAAGCCTTATGTCTTCGTGTACCTAGATGATATAATAATTGTGTCACGAACTTTCGAGGAGCATGTGGCTTTACTGGAAAAGGTGATGGACCGACTGGAGAAAGCGGGACTCACGGTAAACTTTGAGAAAAGTTGCTTCTGTAGGGAAGAACTTAAGTACCTGGGTTACGTTATTAACCAGTTCGGCCTGCAAGTTGATCCAGAAAAAGTCCAAGCCATCCATGATTTTGAGAAACCCTCGACTGTGGCTCAATTAAAGAGACTTATCGGAATGGCTTCATGGTATCGTAGGTTCGTACCCAATTTTTCGACTATTATGTCTCCGTTGCATTCTTTAACAAAGAAGAATAGCAATTATGTCTGGGACGAAGCCTGTGAAAAAGCCTTTCTCGAAATTAAGGAAAGACTGACCTCTGCTCCTGTATTGACTTGCCCTGACTTCAGTAAGACCTTTGATTTATATTGTGATGCTAGTTCTGTCGGCTTGGGGGCCGTGCTCTCACAGGAAGGCAAGGTTGTGGCCTATGCTAGTCGGTCACTTACCAAACAAGAGAGGAAATATTTTCCAACTGAGCTGGAGTGTCTTGCCGTGCTGTGGGCGATTGAGAAATTCCGTGGCTACCTGGAGGGTTACAAGTTTAATGTCATCACCGACCACGCCAGTTTGGTTTGGCTCAATAACCTGAAAGATCCGTGCGGTAGACTAGGGCGGTGGGCAGTGAGGCTGCAACAGTTTGATTATACTGTAATCCACCGTAAGGGTTCTGAGCATCAGGCTCCGGACGCCCTGTCCCGCAGCCCCTTGTCGTACGACGGGGAAGGCATTGATCTAGTTGAGGTCGTGAAAGAGTCTTCGGATAAATGGTATACAAACATGCTTGATCTCGTGCAGAATCAGCCTGAGAGCTACCCCGCCTGGAAGGTAGAAGGGCTCCAGCTGTTTAAGGCTGTGAAAGTCAACAACGAGGAGGTTCAATGGAACCGAGTTGTGCCCAAGGAATTGAGAGCCGAAGTCCTGTTTGAGTGCCATGATCATCCTTTCTCAGGTCATCTAGGAGTAGAGAAAACCTTTAATAGAGTGAGACAGTTGTACTACTGGCCTAAGCTAAGAATGGATGTTAAGAGCTACGTGTCCAAATGTCATACCTGCCTTCAGTGTAAAATCCCTCCATTTAAGCCCGCTGGCATGATGGGTTGTCCTAGAGAAATTTCTGCTCCAATGCAAGTGGTGTCATCAGATTTGATGGGTCCGTTACCAATTTCATGTGGATTTAAGTATTTGGTCGTGACCTGTTGTCTGTTTTCGAAGTATGTGTGGGTGAAACCACTGCGTTCCGCCACTGCGAAAGCCGTGGTGAAGCACTTGGAGGAGGACGTGTTCCTCAAGGCTGGGGTTCCTGGGTTGCTGCTCTGTGACAATGGGAAGCAATACAAATGTCAGGAAATGACTAGTCTCTGTGAGAAGTACAAGGTGAAAGTGATGTATAATTTTTATTATCATCCACAGAGCAACCCCACTGAACGAGTTAACAGAGTGATCAAAACCATGTTGGCTAGTTATGTTAAGGATGAGCACCGTAATTGGGCCAAGAATCTGCCACAGCTGAATGTAGCCTTGAATACTGCAGTGCATGAGGTGACCAAATTCACTCCCCATAGGCTTCTGTATGGAGAGGAGTGGAAGGGCGATGGGAGGTTGAGTGCGGTGGAGTACTCGGGCACTCTCCCTGAGTTTGGAAAGAGAGAAACTCCCTGCCCGGAGAAAGTTGCCGAAATCAGAGCAAAGGTTGTCGCACGACTGGGCGAGGCTTACAAGAGAGCGGCTCACTACTATAATCTCAGGAGGAGAGATAAGGAGTTCACAGTGGGTCAAACGGTGTATCGCAGGAATTTTGTAAAATCTGACAAAGCCCGTGGGATCGCTAAGAAGCTTGCTCCTCCATTCCTTGGTCCTTTTGTGATAAAGAAAAAGGTGGGTTATAGAGCTTACCTATTGGAGGACGCTGATGGTACCGAAGACGGTCCTTGGCATGTAAACGATCTGAAGGAAGTTCCTGATGACTAACGCCCTATCATTCTCTTTCTCTGGCTGGTTGGTTGAGATGGGGGTCCATCTCTTTTACGGAAGGGGGGAGTGTTACAGTTGTAACATCTCGGGCGGAGACGCTAGCAGCGGGCTGGCGGGGCCGCCGTAGATTTAGGCAACCCCTCCGGCCCGCCGCGCTTCCAGTGTAGGCGCTCCGCTCCGAGCGTAGTTTCACGCCGAGCCACCGGCCGTCCAAGCGCTAGTTTGCGTGTCGGCCTGCCCCTTCCCCTCTCGCCCAGCGGTTTGCCGGACGAGCGAGAGAGAGGGCATTTGGTGTGTGGCTGCAGTTCGGTACAGTGGTGCGGTGTTTTGATCAAGTTCCGTAGAGCAAGCCGATTTCTAAGTGAATGGTGCGGCTGTAGTGCATTGATTAACTATCCTCCGGACTGGTGTTTTGGGCGTGCCTGCCGTTCGAGCTGTTTGGGGTAAGCGAGTGACGAAAAAGAAACAACAACTCGAGTGTAACTCCGCCTTCGGCCGGCCCGTAACCTCTCTCTCTCGCCTTGTCTATCTTGTAGTGTGCCGTGGCGGTTTTCTCGGCTGTCTCTCTCCAAAGGGACATGAGCGGCTAGGACGCCGTAGGCGAGGGGCGTCTCTCCAGGACGAAAGATGTGACCGTTGAGGCAGTATGGGGCCCGGTGCGTCAACGAGCTATGACTCGGCGCCGCGGCCCCGTTGTCGACGCGGACGTGCGTAACACCTGCACGCCGTGTTCGCCCGCGCCATGAAGCCACCCAGTACCGACTCCAACCCGCCATGACCTGGTATGAAAGAGAGAAATAGTTTCGCCCACCTTGTTTATTATGATTCTGTCAGCTATAGTTAGAGGGAGGGCGGACGGAAGGCAAGTGTTGCGTGGCTCGCGCTTCACTCTCCGGAAACCCTCTCTTCTAATATCGTCGAGAAAATTGATAGTGTAGCGGTGTGAGAGTCAGGGACACGGCGGACGCTTCGCGTGTTAATTTGTATCGAAAATCCGGGGGCGCGGGCGTCTCGAGGAGGCAAGGGCCGCGTGTTACGCGCGGCCTTCGCTCGTGACGTCCCCGCCCTGGTTTCTTTTGCGTTGTAATTTCGTTTCCATTGACCGTTCCGCCGCGTCCCCGATTTGTCTTCTTCATACTAGTTTTGTTATTGTATATAGTGTTTAGCTCTTTAAATGGAGTTCTTGCAGTTTAGTTTTAGTATCGTTTATCCACACGGCCGGCTTTTTTTTTGTGTATAGATTGCTTCTTGTTTAATAAATGTTTGTTGCATTTACATTGTGGTCTCTCTATTTGGTGGAGCTTTGCTCCTGGCGCCCTTATAATATCAATATAAATAAATCAAAGCCAATTGAGATTGAGAGGAGCTCACGCCCTCTGCCGCAGAACGTTCCGACCAGCCGGCGAACGAGAAATGAGGAGAGTAGAGTTACAGCCCGCCCTTCTATTCAAAAAATAGGGGGAGGGCCTATGCATTTGCCTTTGTGTCTGTGTGTTGTTGTTGTTGTTGTTGGCGTCTGTGTACAAGGAAGGAGTTGAGCTAGAGTAACCAGATTTGGAGGGTACTTCAGGAATACCGTCCAAACAAATAATCCGGTGGTGCAAATCCCGTCCGGGTCGCACAAGGGCTGCTGCAGGTTCATCATGGTTTACATGAGCGGGAGGGGGATTTCCGCTAGCAGGGCACATAGGGGTATTTTTGGAATCGGGGCGACGAGACAAGATGAATGGACCTGGTCCCGACCCCATCGGCCGCTTTTACAAGTTAGCCAGCTCAGGATCTTCAAAAAAGGGGGTCGACCGACTAAAAAAATTTATTGCAGATTTCGATTGGTCTCAGCAAGACCTTTTCAACGAGGGGTCGGAAAGGGGGTCCAGGAGCCCGACTTCGTCTTTTAGTCACATCAGGATCTTGAAAAAAGGGGGTCGACCGACTGAAAATTTTTACTTAAGTTTTCGATAGGTCTTGGCAAGACCTCTTCAACGAGGGGTCGGAAGGGGGGTCCAGGAGGCTCCTGGCAGGAGCCCGCCTTCATGAGTTATGGGAAAAAGTGCGACGGACTCGTTTTGTTCTCCTGCTGTGCCTCTATTGCAAGGAGTTGCGGTAGCATGGCAAACAAATATGGGTATTTTCGGAATGAGGGCGAAGAGACAAATGAAATGGGCATATTCTAAGGACAGTTGGAGAAAAAAGTGTAAGGACTATTGCATATTGTGAATAGAAGGGCGGGCCTAAGTCACGATGGTACATCGATAACTTTGCTTTACCCGCTCACGGTGTGTGTGATGCGAGCGGGCCGAAGGCCCGGGCCTTCGACTGGCCAAGTTGGGTCTGATGCGAGGGCCGAAGGCCCGAGAAAAGGCCGCCGGCAGGCCAAGCTGGGCCGGCCCCCTGTCGAACCGAGTTGCCGGCGAAGCGGAGCTGGCAACTCGGTTCGACGGAAGGGTGGGCCCTAGCTTGTTTACCTTACGTGGGCATTGTATTTCAGAGATATCGAGATTCACTGATTTGTAGTGCAGGTAGGTCATGAACACTTTTAGGTGCCTCTGCAGTTAGGGTAGTTTTAAATCTGCACTGACAGGATTACCTTAGATCTGCTCTGGCAGTTAGTATTGTCTTGAATTTGCTTTGCCAGTTAGGATTATTCTATTGGGACGCGTCGAAATTTTTATTGGGAAATTGACCAAGGCACCTCTGCCATGCCGAACATCATCGCAAATTAAAAATTACCATTTACAAATATGCCTTCTGCAACATTTTTGCCAGAGATAGCTTTTCAAATTCCTGGGGTTTGATACTGCAGTTACCAAAAAAAAGTTTCCAGCCTTTAAGCTCCGGAGGGGCCCTAGGACTACCTGTCCACTCCGATCCATGAATATGTTTCCTTCGACGAGCTTTTCACAAAAACTTCACTGGTAAAACTAAAGCGTAGTATTACCTTCTGTTTTCAAGCGTAATTAGGTTACGCTTAAAATCAAGCGTAACAGGCCATTCCACCAGGATTCCCCCTATCTAAATGCATTGGGGAATTTCCAGAGTATGCTCCATTTTAAGCGTAACGTCTTCAAGCGTAGCTTTATGCTTGACTCAAGCATAGAGTTACGCTTTAGTTTTACCAGTGAATTCGTAGTAGTTTAAGTCATGCCCACCTGTTTCTCGTTTCTGCTGCCCTAATTGTCTTTTTCTATTTTCTAGCCCAGCTATTCAGAACGTGAAGATCGACGCCAGAAAGATTGCAGCGAGGGCCTCTGTTTTCGTCGACGGCGAGCCTCCAAGGCATCCCTACTTCCGCTTTCGTTCGCGCCACTGTCAAGTGGACGCGCACCCCACCGCCGAGGTGCACAGCGAAGACGAAGTGGCAGCGGGAAACGCGACCCCTTCGGAGCCAGCGATCTGCCTCGGAGGGACGCGTGATGACGCACTGCAAGATACCTCAACAAAAGTACACAAATCACTGGCAAAATTTTTATCAGGAATTTATTGTACTTTCAAAGTACATTCTGAATTTCATACAATGAAATTTGACCCATGTTATTCCTATGTTACGGTGAATTCGGCGCAAGCATAATACGAAGCCATATCTCTTCGTAATACGAATATTTTCAGCCTTTTCATTGTAAGATACAAAGAAAAACCTTCGTAATACGAAAAAAAACACCTTCGTATAATGCTTGCGCCATTTCCTTCGTATTACAGGAAATTTCTTCGTAAGACATTTAGAGTGTACAACAATTCTTGTACAAAGTACAAAGGAACCGGCATGACGAGTGCTGGGCAGTCCAGGCCTCGTTGTGGTTTGAACAATTTTCGTTGTACGTAACACAATCCCTGTTGTACTTTTAAGGGGGGACATCACTCCAAAATGATCAAAAATTGCAACTTTTTTTTATTAGTTTATATTATAGACCATTCCTTTCTGCATCGAATGGTAAAAACCGCATTCCGGAATTCAAAAAATTGCAGTTTTAGTAGGTTGTGCGCCGCAAACATGCTTAGGGGAAAAGCCCAGTTTCCCCAACTTTGATCGCGTTTTTCTCGGAACATGAAATTGCAAACGGTTGCAGGCCTCTAGGGCGCAATTTTTGAGCTACAGCGGGGAGATTTAGCATGGAAGCTCCTACGACATGCCGCTATGGTGGGTAGCAAAATAATTTGCATTGGTCAATTTTTATTATTTTTTTAACGTTTAAAATTGAACAATTTGCCCAAAAAAATTGAACAATATTTTTTGGTATGTAACAAACACAACTTAAAGTGATTTTTGAAATGTGATTGAGGTACCCACCATAGCCAGACATCTCAGGAAGGCTGTCACCAAATTTCAATGTTCTAGGTCAAACCGTTTGGCGTCCAGCGCTGCAACAGTGCGAAATGGTCTAACCTAACACTCAAAAAAGTGTTTTCAGTGAAACCGCTGCACTGCCCTGGCGGATTGACTTTGTGTTGTTTCATACTTTATCTGTTAAAATATGAACAATTTTTCTCTTTCCGTTTGGTTTTTATGACGTTTTTACAAAAGCACTGTTTTTGGAGTGATGTCCCCCCTTAATGTACCGTTGTTGTTGTACTTTTGTTGTACCGTTCACACTTTTTCTTACAGCGCGCTGCGGGCGGCGCAGGAAGCAGACGCCACACCCCACCCTCCTTGCCCTGCATCGCTGAAGGGTGTGGCCGAGTGCTCAGTGGCGGCATGGACAAGCTTCGCCGGCATATAAAACTGGTGCATAAGAAGGACGAAACAGAAATGCAGGCACTCCTCGATCATGTGGCCGAAGTCTTTGGCATGCGGCAGGGCAACAAGGACAAACAAATCTGTCCGGAATGCGGCTGTCAAGTTTACGGGAAAGAGAGTGTCTTGAGGAAGCATCTAAAATGGAGGTGTCGCAAGCGAAAAATGTAATCAGTTGGGTTGGCCTTAGTTCAAATTGAATGCACAATGCACACAAAACCTGCGTGTGTAAGCTGGCTCATCGGCACGATGAAAAATTTGTGAGGTAGTTACTCCAATAAATGATGACGAAAAGTCCCACTTCAACCAAATATTTTATTCCCAGATTTTCCCACATGTAAAATATAACAAAAGGATGGCAATCTCCAGCACAAGACGGTTCAGGGGTCCGTGACTCATATTTTAAGCTCGCTACTTATAAGGATTCTAATTCTCTAGCTTGTTTAAGTCGATCCAAAAGGCGACGGATAGCAACTCCTTAAAGCACTGTGAGGAAGGTTTCTTATAGTAAAAGAGCGGTCAAGGACATTATCGGACATTCTTCCGTGCAATGCATAACGATAACGTCAACATCGACGCCAAAAACGGAGCTTAAAAGTAATGCTGTGGCCCTCTACATTGTGTTACAACAGACTCCGACTGAACGGGGGCATTCATATCAAATTAAGGAGGTACAAGAAACGTAAAGGAGCTACCATTGAACACATCAAGGTGTTACCATAGTACAAATAAAGGGTCGTTTCTTGCTGCTTCAGTACAGCAATGCGACGAGGAACGTTACAGTCCACACTCCGTTCTCGCGAACTTCAAGGCCGCCTGTGGAACACCCTCATGTGCTCCTCTAGCATCTTCGCAACGTAAAAACGCGCCGAACACCTCGTACAAGGACAGCGCAAGTTTACCCTGGAGGAGTGACCTTTGACATGTTTCTCAGTATTCTTCAAGTTACCGAACGACTGCAGACAAAAGTGGCACACCAGCGAGCGGTGCTTCTGCAAGTGCTGGCGAACGTAATGCTCGACATGGTCCTCCCAGGTGCTGAACGAAGCATCGCACCCGCGGGAAACGCACCACCCCAGGGTCGGAGGGATGCTGATGTCCGCAGTGCTGGGGGCGACTTCGTCGAGGCAGTCGGTGCCGCTGGGCCCGGGGGCGGACGCGGGCAACTCCAGCAGGATACTGATGTCCTCAGCGCTGGGGGCGGCTTCGTCGAGGTGGCCGGTGGGCTCGGGGACGGACGCGGGTAACATCAGCGGGACGCTGATGTCCTCAGTGCTGGGGGCGGCTTCGCCGAGGTGTTCGGAGGGCTCGGGGACGGACACGGGCAACTCCAGCAGGATGCTGATGTCCTCAGGGCTGGGGGCGGCTTCGTGGAGGTGTTCGGTGGGCTCGGGGGCGGACGCGGGCAACATCGGCGGGATGCTGCGGTCAGCAGAGGCGACTTCGTCGAGATGGCCGGTGCCGGTGGGCTCGGGGAGAGACGCGGGCAACATCAGCAGGACGCTGATGTCCTCAGTGCTGGGAGCCGCTTCATCGAGGTGGTCCGTGGGCTCGGGGGCGGACGCGGGCAACGTCAGCGGGATGCTGATGTCCTCAGTGCTGGGGACGACTTCTTGGGCGACTTCGTCGGGGTGGCCGGTGGGCTCGGGGACAGACGCGGGTAACATCAGCGGGCTGCCGCGGCCCGCAGTGCTGGGAGCCGCTTCATCGAGGTGGTCCGTGGGCTCGGGGGCGGACGCGGGCAACATGAGCGCGCTGCTGCGGTCCGCCGGGGCGACTTCGTCGAGGCGGTCGGCGGCGGCGGGATCGGCCAGCAGCAGCGGGCCGCGTGGCCCGAAGCGGTCGAGGCGGAAGTCGCTCCTGACGGCGATGCGGGGGCCAACAGCGGGAGCAGAAGCACCTGGAATCAGAGTCGCAGTCGGGTCACTTTGGCTTGCAGGCAGCAAGTTGTTCCCGCTGCTCTGCAAACTCAAGTGTGTGCCAGTCATGCACTTTTTAGTGCATGCGTGCAGACACACAATTCTTTTCTGCATGCCTCAGGCACTCACTTGCTTGTATACACGCATTAGCGACGGCAAGTGTGTGCCTGAGGCGTGCAGAAGAGAAGTGTGTGCCTGCAGGCATGCACCAAGAAGTGCATGCCTTGGGTGGACTCTATGAGGTGCGTGCTTGGCACATACTTGAGTTTGCCGAGTGTAGTCTACAGGTACGCTAAGCTCCCAAACCACAAACCACCACCAATCAAACAAGAGAAAGCAAGAACAAAAGAGTCCAGTACCGTGAGATTCAGCTTCAGATTTCAGAGAGTTTTTACCTTGCCTGCAAAGGTACACAGTAAAAACTCCACGAAGAATCGCTTCGTAATTACGAAGAAAATGAAGGCATTATAAAATTTACGAAGAAATGCATCGTACTATGAAGCAAAATCCTTCGTAATAGGAAGCATTTCTTCATATTACGGAGCAATTCTACAATGCCTTCATTTTCTTTGTAGTTATATAGCAAAGGCTTCGTAGACTTTTCAAAGGGTAAGTATCTGGAACATCGTGCTATAAACATCTAAAGTACAGTTTTAAAAAAATATATAAAAATTACACACTACCACCTTGTGCCAGTCTCACAAGGAGCACATAAGCCCGAAGAAACCTCAGGAAAACCAGGGGCGTGTGCGAAGGAAGAGAACTAGGGAACCGTACCGACTCCGGCGGCAGGGCAACAGGGACATGCACATACGTGAGAGTGTCTTCAGACAGGAGCTAAAATGGAGGTGCCGCAAGCAAAAAATGTAAGCAATTGGGTTGGCCTTAGTTCAAATTGAATGCACACAAAACCTACGTGCGTAAGCTGGCTCATCGGCACGATGAAAAATTTGTGAGGTAGTAACTCCAATAAATGAAGACGAAAAATCCCCCTTGAACCAAATATTTTATTCCCAAATTTCCCCACATGAAAAACATAACAAAAGGATGGCAATCTCCAAAACAAGACGTAAGCTACCGTTCAGGAGCCCGTGACTCATATTTTAAGCTACCTACTTTTAAGCGCTCCATTTCTCAAACTTGTTACAGTCGATCCAAAAGGCGTCGAAGTTGTGAGGACGGTTTGTTACCTTAAAAGAGCTGTCAGAGATGTTTCCGGGCGTGATTCCGTTCATTGCATTTGACACCGACGCAAAAAACTGAGCTTAAAAATAAAGCTGCGGCCCTCTACATAGTGTGCCATCACGTTCCGATTGAACGAGGGTACTCATACAAAATAAAGGAGGAACCAGAAAACATAATGGAGGCACCATTGTACAAAGTAAGGTGTTGCCATAGAACAAATATAAAAGGTCGTTTCTTGCTGCATCCGTACAGCAACGTAGAGAAACGTTACAGTCCACACTCCGCCCTCGCAATTTTCAGGGCTGCCTGTGGAACACTCTTATGTGCTCCCCTAGTTTCTTCGCAGTGAAAAATCGCGCCGAACACCTCGTGCAGTTGAAGTGCAAGTTTACTCCCGAGAAGTGACTTTTGATATGTCTGTCAGTCATCTTGCAGTCTTTCCACGTCAGCACGCAAAAGTGGCACACCAGCGAGTGGTGCTTCCGCAAGTGCTGGCTAACGTAATGGCTGACATGGTCCTCCCAGGAGCTGAACGAAGCGTCGCACCCGTCGAAAATGCACCATCCCAGGGTGGGAGGGATGCCGATGTCCGCAGAGCTGTGGGCGACTTCCTCGAGGTGGCCGGTGGGCTCGGGGGCGGACGCGGGCAACATGAGCGCGCTGCTGCGGTCCGCAGGGGCGACTTCGTCGAGGCGGTCGGCGCCGGCGGGATCAGAATCACCTGGAATCAGAGTAACAGTGGTCACTTTAGCTTGCAGGCAGCAAATGTTGTTCCTGCTGCAGTCTACAGGTACGCTAAGCTCTAAAACCACAAACCACCACCAATCAAACTTGAGAAAGCAAGAACAAATGAGTCCAGTACCATGCGATTCAGCTTCAGATTTCACAGAGTTTATACCTTGCCTGCAAAACGAAGTAACTGGAACATCATGTTGTAAACAACTTGAGTACAGTTTTAAAAAAAAAGTAAAAATTACCCACTTCACCCCCAGTGCAAGTGTAGCAAGGAGCACATAAGCCCGAACAAACCTCAGAAAAACCAGTGGCGTGTGGAAAGGAAGAGAACTTTGGAACTGTACTAACCCCGGCGGCACAGGGACATGCAAATCTGTCCGGAATGCGGCTGCCGAGTTTACGGGAGATAATGTTAAGAAAGCATCTAAAATGGATGTGTCGCAAGCAAAATATCTAAAAAAAAATTGGGTTGATCTTACTTCAAATTGAATGCACACAAAAACTACGTGTGTAAGCTGGCTCATCGGCCCCATGAAAAATTTGTGAAGAAGTAACTCCAATAAATGAATAATGACGCAATATGCCACTTAAACCAAACATTTTATTCCCATATTTTCCCACAAGAATAACACAAAAAAGGATATCTATTTCCAGCAAAAGACGGAAGCTACAATGCAGGGGTCCGTGATTCATCTTTTAAGCTCTCAGAGATATTTTCAGACGTAATTCCGTGCAATGCATGCCATCAACACCGACGCCAAAAACGGAGCTTAAAAGTAAAGCTGTGGCCCTCTACACATTGTTACATCACGTTCCGATTGAACGAGGGCATTCGTATCAAATAAAGCCAGAAATTGAACCAGAAAACATAAAGGAGGTACCACTGAACAAATTAAGGTGTTGCCATAGAACACATTAAGGGTCGTTTCTTGCTGCGTCAGTACAGCAACGTAGAGAGACGTTAAAGTCCACACTCCACCCTCGCAATTTTCAGGGCTGCCTGTGGAACACTCTCATGTGCTTCTCTAGTATCTTCGCAGAGAAAAATCGCGCCGAACACCTCGTGCAGTTGAAGTGCAAGTTCACTCTGGAAAAGTGACTTTTGATATGTATATCAGTAAACTTGAAGTTTTTGGACGCCAGCAGGCAAAAGTGGCACACCAGCGAGTGGTGCATCCGTAAGTGCTGGCTAACGCAATGGCTGACATGGTCCTCCCAGGTGCTGAACGAAGCATCGCACCCGTGGAAAACGCACCATCCCAGGGTCGGAGGGATGCGGCGGCCCGCAGTGCTGCGGGCGGCTTCGTGGTGGTGGCCGGTGCCGGTGGGGTCGGGGACAGACGCGGGCAACTCCAGCAGGATGCTGATGTCCTCAGCGCTTGGGGCGGCTTCGTCGGGGTGTCCGGGCTCGGGGGCGGACGCGGGCAACATGAGCGCGCTGCTGCGGTCCGCCGGGGCGACTTCGTCGAGGCGGTCGGCGCCGGCGGGCTCGGCAAGCAGCAGCGGGCCGCGCGGCCCGAAGCGGTCCAGGCGGAAGTCGCTCCTGACGGCGATGCGGGGGCCAACAGCGGGAGCAGAACCACCTGGAATCAGAGTCGCAGTCGGGTCACTTTAGCTTGCAGGCAGCTAGCTGTTCCCGCTGCTGTCTACAGGTACGCTAAGCTCCCAAACCACAAACCACCACAAATCGAACTAGAGATAGCAAGAAGAACATAAGAGTCCAGTGCCATGAGATTCAGCTTCAGATTTCAGAGAGTTTATACCTTTCCTGCAGTTCTAGCAAAACTAAGTAACAGAAACATCATGTTATAAACAACTAAAGTGCGGTTTTTAAAATAATAAAAATTACCTATTTTATCTCTTAAATCTAGCAAGGAGCACACCAGGCCGAACAAACCTCAGAAAACCCCCGGTTGTGTGCAAAGGAAGAGAACCATGGAACCGTACGGACTCCCATTCCAGGAGCGTGACATCGCGTTGAAACGAAAAGGACATGATGTGCATTCGTTTCAATGTGAAAAAGCTAATTTATGGCTGATTCACATTGAAACTAATGTAACACAACGCTCAGAGAAACGTGACCATTTGTAACATCCATTACAACGTGGTGTTACGTTCCTGATATCAAAGTGCAGTGGGATGTTAACAGCATTCACCGTCTGGAAACATGTTCACGATCGTTTACGCAAATTTCCACACCTTGATTAATTTACAGAGTTAAAAAAAGGTTTAAGCGAGGGGCTTTTTTTCTACATACGCAAACGCAGAGTCACATTCCTTTAGCTAAAAGCTCTGGCTAAAAGACAGAGTTCAGTGTATACGGTGATAGGCAGGACCAACATATGATGGTGGATATTTTTCTCGATGATACAAACGAAATTCCTCAGAATATCAATAAGGTACAGTTCATTCTCGATGATATGTTATGAAGTCAGCTGCACCACCATAATATAAAACAATTTCATTCTAAAATGGAAAATCTTCTCTGTACAAGAGTGTTGTTGGCTCATGACCGGCAAGCAAAGAAGATGGAATGTAGTGAAACTGGCTTACGTTATAACAAGATTAGTGGTAATTCACTTGACAGGGAGAAACTCCACTTTGTGATAAAGAGAGATCGCGAAAGAACAAACGAATTTATTACCAGAGTTTCGCACTCGAGAAACTGAACGTGACGATGTGAGTCCCCAGCACGAAACGGAAACTCCGTTTCTGGGCTCCGCACCTCAACTCTCAAGCTTACCATCTTTAAGCCTTCTTACGTATTTTCTAATTGGATTGCGTTGAGCGAGATGACGAGGGATAGCAACTCTTAAAAAGAGCTGTCAGGGATGTTATCGGACGTTACTTCGTGCAACGCATGCCGTTTAGGAAAAACAAAACTGGCAAAAGACGAGCTTTAAAAGTACCGGTGCGGCCCTCGGGTTTTATCGACACGTTACTGTTTAGACGAGAGCATTTAACAGGTATAAAGAAGGCAACAGAAAGTCGTTTCTTGCTACTCTACAAAGCCAGAGCGGCAAGACGAGGAGAGGAACGTCTAGTTCCCATTCTGTCCTCGCAAACTTCAGGGTTCCAAGTGGAACACTCTCATGTGCTCCTCTCGTGTCTTGGCGGAGAAGAACCGCGCCGAGCACCTCGCGCAGTTGAAGTGCACGTTGGTCCACGAGAAGTGGCCCTTGACGTGCGCTTTGGTTTTGTGGACGTCCCTGCAGGTCCGCAGGCAGAAGTGGCACACCAGGGACGGCGCCATCTTCCAGTGGTGGCGAACGAAGTGCTGCACGTGGTCCTCCCAGGAGCTGAACGACGCGTTGCACCGGTCCGAGACGCACCAGCCCAGCACGGGCGGGACGCGGCCGTCCGGCGTCGCGTGGTGGAAGTCCTCGTAGTGGGCCGAGAGGTCCCCGAGGAAGCGGGCCGTGCACAGCGAGCAGCCCACGTCCGCCACGCGGTGCGCCTCCAGGTGGGCCACCAGGTCGCCGGCCCGGTCCTGCGCCAGGCACATGTAGCACATGGACAGGCTCTGCGGGAAGGGGAAATCACTGTGAATTTCGGAGTACAAATCCGATGAATTTCAGTCAAAATTCGATGAATTTCTGTAAAATTTCGATTATTTCAGTCGAATTTTGATGAACTTTGATGAATTTCAGTGAACTGTATATTGAAATTTTACAGAAATTCATCGAATTTCGACTGAAATTTATCGGATTTGAACAAATTTAGCTGGAGTTATTGCCCCTTGCTCTGCGGTAAGACAGACGACAATCGTCACCGAACGCGCCCACGGCACTCTCATAGGCCTCTATGACGCCTCTAAATTCTCAGGATTCAGCTAAATATGACCAAAAAAAAAAGGTTGAATTTTGAGAATTTCAGCTGAGACGCGAGCTGACAATTACACGAGTGCATGCCTTTACATCTAGGTAAGGTTGAGTCAACCTAGGTTTTCCATCTTATAAAATACCCGTAAAAAGTTTTTGTTTTTAAAGATTTGGTCCTTTGGGTATTCACGTTCACATTTTGATACTTAAAATACTTCTTTGTCCTGACCATGCTACCAGTAGCATGATCCAGGATGGCATGGAGCATGACTTTTCCAATTTATTAAGAAAAGCTAAAATTTCATCTTGCGCGCTTAGTCTCTCCAACAAGACCAGACCTCTAAAATATTTGGAACGCTTCACTTCCACCACCTCTATGGTCCAAACCAAAAATATGAACCAGAAACTTAAAACAGCCAAACCAAAACAAATAAATGAACGCCAAACTTTTAACTTTTGTTCAAACATTAAAAATTTGGTGTTTACTCTTTTTTTCATTGTTACAAGTTTCTGGTAAATATTTTAGGTTTGGACCATAGAGGTAGTTGAAGTAAAGCGTTCCAAATTTTTTTGAGGTCTGGTCTGAGTTCTTTTCGGAGAAATTATGCACGCAAGATTAAATTTAAGCTTTCCCTAATAAAATGGAAAAGTAATTGTTCCATGCCATCCAGGATCATGCTACCAGTACAAAGAAGCATCTTAAGTAACAAAATATGAATGTTAATACCTAAAACACCAAATCTGAAAAAAAGAAAAACATAAATTTTTAACAGGCATTCCATAAGATGACAAATGTGACCTAACCTAACCTAGATGTACCAAGGCCTAAGGAAACTCAGCAAATGGGTGTCAAGGTTGATCGTCCAAAAGAAGTGACGTGAAAGGCATTAGTAATTGACGACTAAAAACCATATAAAATCTTAACTGTTTAAGCCACAGCCTCCAGATACAGCCTGAATTCTTCTGAAATCCAGATTAATCTTAAGAAAAGTAATATTTCTGATCATTACAGTTAAACCGGAGTTTAACATCATCTTTCTCACTTACGGATGGCTTTAAAGAAAGAACAGGAAAAACTAGGGTGGCTTGCAAAAATAATCGTTATCTTGTGGACTAAAATCCATGATTTCATGATGAAATAGTTTACGTTTTGAAACATCGTACAGTCGCAGATACTTTTAACAAAGCGGGGGAGTTAGCAGAGGCTGAAGACAACCTCACCTGAGCGGGAGACAGATGACTCCTGACCTGATGCGCCACGTGGTCCCTCCAGGAGTAAAAGGACTTGCCGCAGTACGGAACGGTGCACCAGCCTACGACAGGCCTGGAGGCCGGGCTGGGGTCCACTGCGGGCGGTTCGGACACTCGATGGAAGAGCCTCTTGTGCACCAGCAGCCGGGTGCCGTCCAGGAAGCGGGCGGGGCATCTCGAGCACTGCAAGTCGAGGTCTCCGTGGGGCTCCGAGTGGAACTCGAGGCAGAGCGCGCACAAGGAGGAGTCGTGGCGTTCCCGGAAGTGGGCCACGTAACTCTCCCACGACGAGAACTCGGCCGAGCAGCGCAGGGCAGTGCACCATCCCAGCACCGCCGGCGCGTCGTCCACAGCCTCCACTGTTAAAAAAGGCATAAAATCAACATCCTTTTCAAGTACACTGTAAATCCAGTGGCAAGTTTGCTTGCCACATTTGGCAAGCCGTTTTTAAATGCCAAAATTTGGCAAGCTTTGGTTGGCAATCTTCATGAGCTTGTCACATTTTGGCAAGCTGGGGAGTATTTCTGGGCCAAGCTTGCTGATGGTTGGCATTCAAAACGGCTTGCCTAATTTGTGGCAAGTAAACTTACCACCAGATTTGCAGTGTAAGTATGTCACTAAAGTTGACCAAACATGAACAAAATAACGAGGTTTGTTGGCATTCAGACATTTTGGCTTGAATGTGCCCTATTTTAAAATTGAATTGAAGAAATGAAACATCACAAGGCCAACCTTCGACGACAAAATAGTGTGCACAGCGAGGGGTGAATCACTCAGCGTTCTGGTGTACACATGAGTACATGAGTACGGGTGAGTACACCTTGCTTTACTCATAAATTTCACAATTTAAAATGTTTTAAGGATTTATTTAGCGTTTTTAACGGCACTCAACGTTAAGTCGGTTGAAAAACTAGAGAATTTTGCCCTTTTTAGACTTGAGAGTACACTGAGTACGGGCAATTTTGTACACATGAGTACACTAGTGATTCACCCCTCGGTGCACAGGAAGATATTCGAAGATTCGTCCAAAGTTGTCGGAAAAAAATGCTGCAAATGTGACTTTTTATCAATGATAAGTGAGACTTTATAGTTCTGTCAAATTGTCAGTGGGCCCTGTTTTGAGGAAAGTAAGATATTTTCACCAGAACCACATCTTCAGCCCTTGGAAGGAGCGTGAGTTGGACTAGGACTTCTAAGCGAAGTTTCTAATGCCTTTCTGAGGTCGTTACTTCATTACGCCAGTAACAGGCGTGAAGGACTGTTCTGACCCAAAGGGCGCAGTTTTATAGCCTGTGTCTTACCACGGTCGCCTTCAGGCGCTGAAGCGTCGGCCGCCTGCTGCTGCTGCTGGACTGCACGTGGAGCGGCCGACAGCAGAAGCGGGGTGCGGGACCCGAAGCGGTCCATGCTGAAGTCGCTCTTGACTGAGATGCGAGGGGCGGCGGCGAGAGCGGGGGCCGGGGCGGTGTGGTTACCTGAAAATGGGCGTACACTGGGTCCTTCGTTTTGTCCCAGAGTCATCCCCACCACCGTGGCGCGGGTCGCGCCCCGCCGGCCGATGCCTGCCGTCGCTGGCAGGCCAGGTAGGGATTACGGCGGCCTAATCCGCATCGGCCGGCCGGGCTCGGTCCTTCGTTTTGTCCGCAGCAACTCCCGGGTAGAGGGACAAAACGAGGAGTTTGACTGTAAAGTGAAACTTGCATGTCTTAGAAACATTTGTCACAGGAAGTTCATTTTGTAGTCAAAATTCTACTAGTATTAGATGAATTCATTCTTAAAGTTGGGGACTCCAACTCTTTTTAGTTTCTAAGTTATGGAGGTTTATGCAGACTTTAAGTCGTTTCCTCCAAATTCTCCTCACGACAAAGGATTAGCTACGCAGTCTTCAGATTCTGGCAATTATATCAATTTTTGAATAGGAAAAAGATAGTGTTGTCAAATTTCAAAATTTAAGTCCAGAAGAGGCTGTAACAGCTAATTTACTGGGCTCATTTTTATTTTTCTTCAAATTTGAGAGACTTAGCCTTATAATAAGATTTTGGTTTTTCAGGAAAACCAAGGGAGATATATTAAAAACAGCAACACTACCTTTTTTCTTTCCGAAAATAAATAAAATTGCAAGAATCTGAAGACTGGGTAGCCAATTCTTGGTCGTGAGAAGAATTTGAGAGAAACGACTAAAAGTTAACGTAAACATCCATAACTCAGAAACTAAAAAGAGGCGGCGCACTACTCTAAGTGCATGAGTTTATGCAATGGAAAGGGACTTTTATCCATATGAATTGAGACATCTGGACAAGTATTTTAAAAAGAGTTAAACAGTCACTTCGGTCACTTTTGTCTTCATAACCTAAAATTTCGTTCCTTAACATCGGAAAATGAACTCAAACCTTGATTGCAACACCTAACTCACTTTGACAAGCACACTTCCAACACGCACCGGTACACACTAAGTACACGTACCAGATTCGTGCTACAATCGATGAAGGCACTTTGCGGCCCAGGGTGAACGGGGAGAGGCGAAGAACATGAGAACACCTCTCGCCCTCTCATCCCGTGTCACTACAGCGCCAAGAACGGTCCGGTCATCAGCAGAAAACACTTCGCACTACACTGGTGAAACTAGGGCATTAAAATTATGCCCCTTAATGGCGTAAACGATACGCCCTTGGAGCGGCGTGGATCATTTATGCCTTTTGGAAGGACATTAAAATAATACTTAAAATTCCCTTATCATTCAGGCCCTTCCCAAGGGCATAAAACGACTTACGTCCAACGGGCGTAAAAAAATTTATATGCCCTAAAGGGCGTAACTCTTAAGCCTTTGTTTTACCGTTGTTCTTTCCGTCGAAATGACTAAAGCGCGCCGAGCGAGTGGACCTGATGCAAGTACTAAAACGCGATGCGTGCACCTTGGTAGACAGCTGGAGACTGACGGACGTTTTGCGTGCCGCCGCCGGGCGCCGGCCGGCCAAAACTTTCCGAGTTGCCGACGGATTAACGCTCCCCTCCTCGCCGAGCCAATCAGAGGGCGCCTCCAGCCGGCCCTGCCTCGCCGGACTTTCCGAGAATGCACCGGCGAGGACAGTCCGGAGGCCACCACACTGGGCTCGGCTCGGTGCTCGGCCCTGCTCGCGACCGAACGGACTCAGCTGAACAAGTCCGGCACAAACTAGATCGATTTCGGGCCTACAGCTGGTCTAGGTGCTCCCAGAGTACTCTAGGGCTGTCGGTCTCAATGTTCAGAACTCTTTTTGACAGTGAAATGACAACGAGAATTTTACAAACCACAAGGAGGCCTGGACTGCACAGCAATCGTCATGCTGGTTCCATTGTACTTCCTACGTACGTACAACAATTGTACTTTGAAAGAAAATAAAATCCTGATAAAAATTTTGCCAGGAATTTGTGTACTTTTGATGTGTTTTTTTTCTTGCAGTGTACCGTTTGCCGCCACGCGGTGGAAGTCCCTGTAGTGGTCCGAGGCGTCCCCGAGGAACCGGGCGGAGCACAGCGAGCAGGCCTCGTCCTCGACGCTGTGCGCCTCCAGGTGGGCAGGCAGTCCGCCGAGCGGGTACACCTCCAGACACAGGGAGCACACGGCGTCACTCTGAAAAAGGAAGAATTATTTAAGAAAAATTATTCCGGTCACATGGTCCCAAACGGTATCACTCTGTGCAAGTAAGAGTTGATAAGGGGGCAGGTTCACTTGGGAACAGCCAATTTTGGTATAGACTGCGGCTCTGCTGTGGAGGCAATATTTAAGGGGGGACCCTGGTGTTTTTCAAGTAGGCTTTAAAATAATCCCAGAAAGTTGCAACTTTACCTGATTATTAGGTTCATTATGGTGAGTTCCCAACACAAAATTAATCTAAAAGTTGAACGGTCTACTGAGAAAAGTGCCACTTAAGTGTATTTTAGAGTGTTGGGCAAAATCTTCCTGCGTCTTTCATTGACGGAACGCCTAAAAAAAATTTTTTGGTTTCCTAAAGTTGTATAGAGAGATTTTAGTGACGGAATTTTCAAATACCGTTCCTAAATACAATTTTCAAATTTTTACGATTTAAAAAAGGGAGTTATTGTCTAATTAACAAACTTTTTTGAGTTTTTAAAATAAAGTAGGGCTGATGTCAAGATTTTGCCACTAAAATTTGTCAACAAGTTATCAAAGAATAGAATCCATGCAAGATGACTTACATATGTGGCAACCAGGAACACAGGAAGTCTTTTAACAAAAAATTGTTTTGTTGACTGAGCAGAGCTGTGAAGTTGAGCGTATAAACCAACGACAACTGATCTTACTGTCATTTCTTTCCAAATGATAAAGAAACTACCCACTTAGCTTAAAGGTGTTTAACATGTTCATTGAACACTAATCACATAAAACAAACACTGCCATAACTTTGGGAAAAAAGTTTTTTCACCTTACAGTAACCTTAAGGGGGGACCCAGGTGTTTTTCAAGTAGGCTTTAAAATAATCCCAGAAAGTTGCAACACCTAATTATTAGGTTCATTATGGTGAGTTCCCAACACAAAATTCAATCCAAAATGTTGAACGGTCTCTGAGAAAAGTGCCACTTAAGTGTATTTTAGAGTGTTGGGCAAAAATCTTCCTGCGTCTTTCATTAGGACGGAACGCCTAAAAAAAATTTTTGGGTTATCCTAAAGTTGTATAGAAGAGATTTTAGTGACGGAATTTTCAAATACAACTTCTTTCCTGAGATACAAATTTTCAAATTTTAACGATTCAAAAAAGGGAGTTATTGTCTAATTAACAAACTTTTTTGAGTTTTTAAAATAAAGTAGGGCTGATGTCAAGATTTTGCCACTAAAATTTGTCAACAAGTTATCAAAGAAAAGAATCCATGCAAGATGACTTATGTATGTAGCAACCAGGAACACAGGAAGTCTTTTAACAAAAAATTGTTTTGTTCACTGAGCAAAGCTGTGAAGTTGAGCGTATAAGCCAACGACAACTGATCTTACTGTCATTTCTTTCCAAATGATAAAGAAACTACCCACTTAGCTTAAAGGTGTTTAACATGTTGAATCTGAAACCTTCTATGCACATTTTTATCTATGAACTTTGAAAATACTATTTTTGGTCCCCCCTTAAGGAAAGACCCTGGTGAAAAATTGTCCCAAATTGGCTGAAACAGTATTTTCAATGTGCTCAGCTTAGAATTTGAATGGAAGGATTCAGATTAAAGGATTTCAACCTTTAAGTTATATTGGTAGTTTCTTTATCATTTGTAAAGAAAGAGCATTAATGTCAGTGTCATTAGCTAACACGCTTCACTTGAATGCTATGATTAATCGACAAAGAATTTTGGTCGTAGGAAGACTCCCTGCGTTCCTGGTTGATACATACATGAGTCGTCTTGCTTGGATTTCATTCTTTGATGACTTGTCGACGAATTTTAGAGAGGATTTCTTAATATCAACCCTACTGTTGTGCACAGACAGAAAATAAGTTGGAAAAATAAAGCGAAAGATTCACACTTTAAAATTATTAAAATTGAAAAATTTATCACTTAAAACAGGAGTTGAATTTGAAAATTCTAACACTAAATTCTTTTCTTTATATCATTAAGTTGCCCCAAATTTTTTTTGAACGAAACTTTCCGTCTCCATGAAAGATGCAGGAAGCGTTTTTCCTACCGCTCTTCATACCACGGAAGTAGACCTTTTCTCAGGAACCGTTCATTGTTTTGGGTTGAATTTCGTTTTAGGAACTCACTTGAAGTGTTTTAAGGTTACTGTAAAGTGAAAAAATGTGAAATATCATTTTTCAAAATAATTGTGGCATCATGTTTGTATTTAGGTTTCAGGTTGCTTACTGTAAGATGAACTTAAACCCAAAGTTGAGGCACTCAACTCCCATTATTTTCTGAGTTATTGAAGTTTACGTAACAAATTTAGTCGTTAACTAAAAATTCTCCTTGCGATGAACCAAAAGTTGTCGAGACTTGATTTTTGTTTTACAAGTTCTTTATTGATTTGCCTATCTCGTAGCAAAGCCGGATTTCCAAAATTCCAGCATAAAACAGGAATTTTTCTCAAAAAACACAAAAAAACACCAAAAAATACCAAATTTTACCAAATTTGTAAAAAAGTTCAAAGTATTTTGCTAACAGTTCACTTAAGCTTATTAAAGCAAAAAATTTTGGGCAAAATCCGGCCCTTTTTCTAGGGCTTTCTTGCATGTCATTGGACTTTAAAATAAAAAAATCACCCTCTTGTAAACATAGTTGGAAATCATAAGCAAAAGTCAATTTTTAGTTAAAAATGACTAAAAAACAAATTAAAAAACCCTCATAACTTTGGAACTAATGCCCCAATTTTTTGGAAGTCCAGTCTAGTGGATGCAAAAGTTTTTCATAGTAAGCTCTAAATACCAAAAACCAAAGCACTGCCAACTATACTTTGAAAGATAGTTTTTTCACCTTACAGTAACCTTAAGGAATGATTTTCTCGACCCACTGAAATTGAACCGAAAAGCGAGGGGGTAAACACTCTTAGAAATCGTGTACAGAGTACTCGGTATTACGCGGCATAATGGGGATATTACACGTGTATTACGGCATTAAAAATGCCAAAGTTGGCACATTTGGCCCAAGGATGGTATTACAATTACGTATATTACACGGTTTTTGAGTACAGGGTATTACACGAGTGTTTACCCCCTCGCCGAAAAGTTAAAGGCTGTTTTCTAGGAGCTCTTTGCTCACCTGCGACGCACTGATACCGTAGTGGCCCGTCTTCTGGTGGCTGACGTGGTCGCCCCAAGACGAAAACGGTTCCTCGCAGAGCGCGAAGGTGCACCAGCCGATCGTCGTGCTTGAGGTCGTCTCCGTGGCCGTGCGCGAGGCCGTGTCTGACGAGGACGTCTCAAAGGTCGTCTCAGAGGTCGTTCCAGGAGCCGTTCCAGAGGCTGTTCCAGAGGCCGTTCCAGGGACTGTTCCAGAGGCCGTTCCTGAGGCCATTCCAGAGGCCGTTCCAGGGCCTGTTCCAGAGGCCGTTCCAGAGGCCATTCCAGAGGCCGTTCCTGAGGCCATTCCAGGGGCCGTTCCAGGGGCCGTTCCAGAGGCCGTGTCCGACGTCGTCCCAGAGGTCGACCCAGAGACCTTACTCGAGTCATCCGTGCGGACGGGCGGCCGGAGGCTCGAAGGCTGCGCTGCATCCTGCACGCGATGGAAGCGACCCATGTGGACAGACAAACAAGAACTACTTGTGAACAGCGCCGGGCACCACGCGCACTTCAAGTCTTGCGGTCCGTGTGCCTCGGTGTGGACCTGCAGGCAGAGCGGACACAAGGAGGAGTCGTGGCGGGACTGGCAGTGTGCCACGAAGCGCTCCCAGGACAGGAAGTCCGCCGCGCAGCCCGGGAACGTGCACCAGCCCAGCACGGCCACCACGTCGAGTGAGCCGGTCTCTGGCGCCGCGGCGGTGCTCGGGGATGGGGCGGCCGAGCCGTTGGGGCCCGACGACGAAAAGGCCGGAACATTGGAGCCCTGGGCCACTGGCGGCCCAGCCTCCAGGCCCGATCCGACCTGCTCGCCGGCGGTGGCGAGGCGTGGAGCAGACTCCGGGAGCGGGCTGCGCGGCCCGCAGCAGCCCTCCGGGGACGCGCGCTTCACGGGAGGACGAACAGCGGCAGCGACTGGAGCACCTGCACAGCACACAAGACATGTCTACAGCCTTGCAAGATGGCGCAGTGAGAGTACAGACGCTACGAGTATGGGGTCAATTCGAGCAATGCGTTAGAAGCAGTTTTCAACCCAGTGCAGTGCTCCTGAATCACAGTGCGTCCCCGACAGTTTCATGCACATACCGCACCACCAATTCTACCACAAAGTCTAGACTACGCACCCACAGCATGCCCTGCCAACTAGAAAAAAAAAAGCATAAGAACTGAAACATACCTTTATTGATATTTGTTTTAACCCAGGGTTTTAGTCGATGATTTCCAAGCGAATAGTTAAATTAGTAAAGGGTTAGCCGGCAGTCTCATCTCTGTACCGTTTTCAGGGGCTTTAAACCCCTCTTTAGATAGATAACGATGATCTTTTAGTTATGACGAATGAAAGAAACAGAATTTTAGGAGCAATTACAACCTATTATAATTCTATACAATCTTCAGTATGGTTTGCATGAAGGTTTCCCTTCGGCCTTGCCTTGGGTTAAAGAGATGATTGTAGGTGGAATTTGAAGGAGGAGAATTTATTTTTCTTAAAGATGCCGCAGACCAATTGCCAAAAACGTAAGCAACTTCCGGAGGGAAATTGTTCACAGTGAAGTTTTGAACGTTAGCTATGAAAATTTTGGTTGAAAACGTTTTAAAAAATTCCGTTTTCACATTTGGTTCTAACCATCTGTCCCTATTAGGCATACTTAAAAAGTCATCGTTACATACAGAGGGAAAGACCCCCCCCCCCGATTAAAAAAAACCGTAGAGACGAGACTGCACTCTAACAATAAAGTAAGAAAGGATAATGAAAACAGGGCTGTCAAATCTTACGAAGTATTTTTAGCATACCAAGTGCAAAACTGTCTAGTGTGTTTTACGAAGAGGAAGGTTCGTAAATTACGATCCATTTCTTTAGTAAGCTTACGTATGTTTAAAATACTTTGTGCTTCGTAAGCCTCGTGAGGTTATTGTCGAGCCAGCCAAAGGTGGCCCTTTTGGCGACCGTTGGAAATGCGGCGGCTGGCCGAAGCATTGGCGCTGCCGTCGCTCGGGCTACCCCCTCAACATCCCGACCGCCAATAGTGGCCGTTGTTTAGGCGGAACAACGGCCACTATTGGCGGTTCGGGAGATAGAGGGGGTAGCCCGAGCGACGGCAGCGCCAATGCTTCGGCCAGCCGCCGCATTTCCAACGGTCGCCAAAAGGGCCACCTTTGGCTGGCTCGACTATATTAAAGAAGGAACATATTCAGATGCCCCTCACACGGCGCCGTGAGTCTCACGACGAGCGTCTCGGTGGGTACGGGCCTGAAAAACGCAAAAAAATATAGAAGAACAAAAGGGTTTCAAAGAGAAGGAAATGTTCAGTTTAAATAGTAAGCCATAGCACCCGTTGAAGACACCCTCGCTTCAAGACAATGCGTCCGAGATGTATCATTTGAGCATTCGTTCGTGGTTGCTAGTCAGAGTCTCATAAGATGCTCTTTATCAATTAACAATCCTGAGAAGCCTCACTCTAAAATAAGTCTACGAAGCATTGGCTTTAAACCAAGGTAGGTGTACGCCAGGCGGTGACTTATTGTAACAGGCTTCGCGATGCTGCGCCAGTTCCGACAATCCACGCGGCGTTCGCACCTACCTGCGGCACTGGCCTGCCTTCGATAGGCTCTTTGGCTACGCGTCGGCACTGGAGGAGACGTGATCAGAAATAGAGACAGTATTCGAGTTTTCGGATTCAGCTGGGGTGGGTGACTACCCACAGACACACACACACACACACACACACCCTTTTTTCCAGGTACGGGGTGACGGGGTTGTCTGGTCAAACTGCATGCCATCTTTGAGTGGCACCCTCTGTATTCCGGTTGTGCCCCATAGGAATTTTATTCTGGATCGCACATCAAAATGGATTCTGGTTTCGTCATCAACACCCCCGAAAACACAGGAAAAAATGTGAAACTTCACTGGTAAAACTAAAGCGTAGTATTGCCTACTGTTTTCAAGAGTAATCAGTTTACGCTTGAAATCAAGCGTAAAAGGCCTATCCGCCAAGATTCCCCCTATCTAAATGCATGGGAGAATTTATAGTCTATGCTTGATTTCAAGCGTAACGTCTTCAAGCGTAACTTTATGCTTGACTCAAGCATAGAGTTACGCTTTAGATTTGCCAGTGTTGACACGAGAACGTAACATATAATAAAATTGACTCTTTCTGCCGTTGTTTGTGGTTTTATGCTAGAATAACCACACGGAACGAGAGAGGAAGCTGGAATATGGCGTATGCCGATCCTAGGAAGTATATTGTGAGGCTCAAAAATCTCAGCTAAATCGACCGAGCCGTACAGGAGGAGTGCGCGTACACACTCTCACACATACTAAATTACTATGTAGGTTTTTCTGCGCGCCAATGCACGAAATTTAACATGCACTTCGTAACGCACGAATTTCTGCGCGACAATGCACGATTTCGTGCGCAAGTATGCAGAAAATCGTGCATTTGCGCGCACAAATTCGTGCGTTACGAAGTGCATGTTCAATTTCGTGCATTGGCGCGCAGAAAAACCTACATAGTAATTTAGTCTGCAGACAATACTTTCTAACCCCAACGGGCTTCGCTATCGCTCACAGCCAACAAGGCGTTCCGTTAGTTACGTTATGCTCGGAAAAAGGGGGGGGGGGTAATCTGTTCTGCGTAACGCTGCGATGGATGCATACACTGTGAATATAGCGCCAATCGATGCAATGTTTTTGGCTCATGAAGTGCAATGCATTCCCACACTGCTAATCCAAGTGTGGACCAAGTCCACGCTAGGTAGCGTGGACCACGAATGGTCCACGCTAGGAAACGTGGACCACGAATGGTCTACGCTAGGAAGCGTGGTCCACGGATGGTCCACACTTGGAAGTGTGGTTGACCTCAACGCTGTGAAGCGTGGACCACAGCTCGGTCCACGTTTCCTAGCGTGGACCACGGCTTGGTTCACGCTTCCTAGCGTGGACCATTCGTGGACCATTCGTGGTCCACGTTTCCTAGCGTGGACTTGGTCCACACTTGGATTAGCAGTGCGGCGGTTCCAAAAAAAAGGCAAGCCGCAGCGTTTCCGCTTAGCATATGCTTTTCCAAGTAGTAGCAGGACAGTACTGGTCTCCAAGGCACTGATGCACTTGCCCGTAAAAGAGCTCAACGTGCCGTTTGACGCCCGGACTCAGTGGTATATTCTGAGAAATGTTTCACGCCACAAGATCTCGCCTGTAGAAATTTTGCTACTTTTAAAAAAATAACAACAAAGATATTTCCTCTTTTTTGGCATGGATAAAAACAGCTTTTTCTGCTTAGAATTATGTTTTTGTTTTCACCCAAATTCCCACGGACTATTGCCGTACTTCTGCATACTGACTTAGATTAGGTACAATTTTATATATAATTGACCGCAATGTGGAAATTTTCTCCTTAACTTATGTATAAAATTATACATAATTATACATTATATGCACTGCAAAAAAAATTCTGAAATTTAAGACATGAAAATGTCTTAAATTTAATGACATTTTGAAATGATGTGAAAACTCAGAAAAGTTTGTGAAAAGTGCTATACTTTATTACATTTACCAAAACTAAAATGAAAAGTAATAAATAGTTGGTAAATTTCAAAACCACTTTTAAAACTTAGGAACTGGGTTGTCAAAATTAAGATTGCCTTCCAAAAGTAAAAATGGATTTCTTAAAATCCACATGACTGATGACTTTTCATAACTAGATTTCTGAAACTAACTGATTGAGGTTAAAATTGAACGCTTCAGTGATAGCTGTCACATTCAACGTAAACCGAAGGTTTAGTTTGATTACTTCACGCAAACTGTCGCCAAGCCACTTCTCACATGGTATGGCCTACAGTCATGGTCAGCCGCTGGGTTCAAGGTCAGGTTTCACAGACCTGCCGCTAGGTGGCGCTTGGAGCGCCGTGTCCGTTCCCGAATAAGTATTTCCTATTTGTATTTCTAAAAGAACTTCTTTTGGCAAATGATACCATCTGTTGCCTTAGTAAATGTCTTGTCTAGCCGCTAGCTCAAATTTTTTAACAAATTATTCCACTGAAGTTGAGAGAAACGCACAAACATGTTGCCACTCGCTGGCGCCTGCTGTCGGCCATTAGGTTAGGTCCAGGCACCTCCTCTGTTGAGGGACAGTTGGAAGATGGAAGACATGCAAGCCTCAGGTCTTCGTGCTTCGAATAATTTTTGACAACCGACACTGTAATGTGACACGATGTAAGATGCATGATGCATTTCAGAATTCTGACATCTACACTCGAAATCGGACGTCGGTATAGAAGTTCTTTTCTCCCACTTTAGTCAGATTTGTTTATGAATTTTAATAAACCATAATCTATGTCTATCTTTTAACCCTGTAACGGCCAGACTACTCCCCACCTACCAAAACTACTGTTTTGGGTGTTTTTCTTCTTATTGAGGTCCTTGACAAAGCAAAATGCCCTTCCATTCCAGAATCGGATAACTAACAACGAAGTTAGAATTGTAACCATATGGTAACGTTGGTAGTCCCCGGTGCGGTCCATAAAAACTTTGCATTGCATTGTAGGGGATACCTCTGGTTTCAGAAAAAAAATTGTTGGGAGAATGATAGAACAGAACAAGAAGAAGCCATAGGAACACTTTGGAAGTCAAAACTTGAATTGCATTGCCCGCAATAGCAGTTTTAATCGACTGTGACCATATGGTCACCTTGGCCGTCCCGGGACCGGCCATTTTTGTAAAAATACAAGTACGTGTTTTTTCACATATCAGCCCACCCTGACACCATTGGCGACGAAAACACGAGTTGTAACCATATGGTCACATTGGCCGTTACAGGGTTAATAGCAAAAAATCTTTGTAAACTGCTTCACAAACTAGTTTCTTAAAATTAAGATGGATTTTTTTTTGCAGTGATGCGTATGCAGGTTCCTGGAAAGAACGAGGAACTACTTCGCACCACATTGAAAACACATTTTCTGGAAGAAGCAAAGAGAATGTCTTCGCACTTTTGTTCAACTTAGTACGTGGGAACTTCATGGGAACTTTTTCGTGTACGTATATTCGCACGAAATTTGTGCGCTTCTGCGTGCAAAGTTGTACGAAAAAGTTTGCATGTTGAAAATTATTGTATATGTGTGTGTAAGGCCACCAACTACATTGTGCAAAAACATTTGACGTGTAGGACATGTCACAGCGCCGTTTTCTTCGTGAAAGTTTCAGCCAATGCTCTGACATGCTGCATAATTACCACCCAAAGCGAGTTCATGGAGATTTTGAAAGCCCAAGAACCGCACAAATACCTAGAAACTTGCGTTCTTGTCAAAGTCTCGATGGTGAGAGAAAGAATTTTAGGAGATACCTACTTCACGAAACGCGACAAGTAAAGATGGTAACATTCCCGCCTGCTCAAACACCCAACTAAATATTTTTTCGCTGGCGCAAGTCATTGACATAGTTTCTGAGTGTCCATTTTTAACGGTCCGTTTCCAAGCCTCCCGTAGCCGCGCAGCGTTCCTGTGCTATATCCGGACCGGGCTAGCCCGGCCCGGCAGCTCCGAAACGCAGCGGCGGCCGGCGGCGTGACCTTGAGTCAGCCAGCTGGCTGGGCGAAGCGCACACCCAGCGCAGGCTAGCTTCGGCTGTGAAGCGAAGGGGGGAAGAGGGGGGCGAAGGGCGGGAGGGGAGAGGAGGGAGGGGAGAAAAACATCGTTTGTGGGCAGTAGATAGCTTGGGGCCGTGCTGTGCGGACGTGCTAGGCGGAGGCAGGCCACCACACCGTCAACACGGACGCGACTGTGCTCTCGTTCCGCTGTCCGGATTCCTACTTCAGATTAGGTGGGTTTCTTATCGGTTATCGTGCGTGGTCCGCAGTTTGCAAGTGGCGAGCCCCGCGGACGAAAGTTTCCCGTGGAACAATTCTCTGTCCACGAATTCAACCCGAGTAGGGCTGACGTGTCCACAAACATGCGCAGAGCAGCGCGGAGGCTGGGAATAGGTAAACAAACGTGGGCTAGGAAGCGCGAGCAGGGAAACGCTTGCGAGGCATGCGTGGAGGGAAGGGAGCCGGTAGACCCTCCGATCTAAGCACGGCCCAGCCGGTCGGCCACCTGAAAGAAATAGGAGCCGAGGGGTGGGGGCGCTGGAGGGGATGGGCTCCTACCCTACGGCCATCCGGAGGGGACCCGGGGTGTCGAAACTAAACGGTCCAACCTATCCTAACCTAACCTAACGGGCTCGCGACAGATCTTTTTCTAACTCGCGACAGATCTTTCTCTAACTCACGACAGATCTTTCTCTAACTCGCGACAGATCTTTCTCTAACTCGCGGCAGCACTGGTGAAACAAAGGCATAAAAATTATGCCCCTAAAGGGCGTAAACGATTTACGCCCTTAAAGGGCATAAATCGTTAATGCCTTTGGGAAGGGCATTAAAATTTTGCTTGAAATTCCTATACCATTTACGCCCTTCCCAAGGGCATAAAACGATTATGCCCTTGCAAGGGCGTAAAAGAGTATTTATGCCCTAAAGGGCGTAATTTTTATGCCTTTGTTTTACCAGTGAGATCATTCTCTAACTCGCGATAGATCTTCCCGCCAAACGCGACCGAAAAAAAAGCACGGACGTGGAATTGAACCCGCGCCTGCAGCGTTTGGCCCAGGGACGCTGGCCCCCATACCACCGGGAAAGCTGGATGGAGATGGGCCTGGCTGCATCCAGTATCGGCCACAGCGCCGCTCCCCCCCACCCCAGCGGTCCCGTACCCCCACCTCCCCGAAGCTCGCGGCTCCTCCCCTCGACGCGCGCGGCTCCTATTTCTTTCAGGTGGTGAACCGCGGCCCAGCGCATCGCACGACGCGACGCCAGCCGGCCGGTGGGAGAAGGGTGGGGGTGGGGGGCATTGATCTGCGCGTCACCGCTCCAGCCGCGCACAGTGGTTTAAAATCCTGTTTTAGGGGGAATAAAGCGATTTTTCAAAAGTGTCGCGGGGGGCATTCTGGGGGTGGAAACGAACTATAATACTCCAATACAATATAAAATGACGTTTATAGATTTTTATATGACGCTGGGAGCCACTGGGAAGGGTTTGATTTTAGTCTTTTGTATTTTGATCAAATTCACCTAATTTTCTTAGATGTTTCCTACCCTTATTTTTCCAATGAGGGCGATGGTACTGGTATGTTGGCGTGTTTTTCTTTTCGTATCATTAATCAAAGGAAAGCAGCACACAGCGCAACATTTCGTTCGCGGTTTGGCTCACGGCGGCGTGTTTTTGCTACAAATGCGTTCAACACATTAAAAAACACACTTTTGGAGTTTCGGGCATCGATGGGGCCCGATGGGGCGGAGTTATTGGTGCGAGGCGCTTCCCTTACATGTATATTAAGATGCCCCGATGATAACTTTTCCGCACTCGTCCGCAACACGAAACACATGGGGACCAACACCACAAAAACGTGCCAAATTGATTAGTTTTGGGGATAATCGCTTCTGGTGTGCACCATTCAAAATGAAAAAAACATCAGTGCAATTGTTTTTCTTTTCAAATATTTTGTTTTTCTTTGTAACAAAATGGTTTAATGCGGCTTAGAAGTCAAAACTAAGTATTTTGAGCATTTTTTAGTTTTGCTTTTTTTGTCAATTCTGTCATTTTTCTTCTAATTTTGCTATTTTTCTCATTATTTTAGCATTATAAATCCAATTTTTATCGGACCACTTTTTCCTTTGAACTGGTCTTTGCCTATTGCCTACAGATGATTCAGTTCAATTCTGGTAGCATTTGGTCGCACGGGACGCTTTGCTAGGACACTGAAATTCAAAGGGTGAGACATCTCACCAATTTTCGGCGATACAAAATGTATCACCGAAAAAAAGGTCGTACACGAATGTATCACCGAAAAAATGGTCGTACACGCATGTATCACCGAAAAAAGGGTCGTACAAAAAAGTATCACCGAAATAACGGTGAGACATCGGCGAGATTGGACCTTGTTTTCCTGGGGAAGTATCAACCTTTTTTCGGTGATACATTAGTGTACGACCTTTTTTTTCGGTGATACATGCGTGTACGACCAGTTTTTCGGTGATACATGCGTGTACGACTATTTTTTCGGTGATACATGTTCGTATCACCATTTTTTCGGTGAGACAGTTATGTCTCATCCCTCAGAGAGTGAGATGTATCACTATTTGATTTTCAGTGGACTTATTCCCCCGAAAATCGCATTTTAAACCACTGTGCCGCGCTCTGGCGCGCGATTCAAACGCCCCCCCCCCTCATAGATCAGTACATTTGAAGTGGTGTCTTCACCTGCAAACGACACGATATAGAAGAGGAAACAATGCACTGGTAAAACAAAGGCATAAAAATTACACCCTTTAGGGCATAAATACTCTTTTACGCCCTTGCAAGGGCATAAATCGTTTTATGCCCTTGGGAAGGGCGTGAATGGTATGGGAATTTCAAGCAAAATTTTAATGCCCTTCCCAAAGGCATTAACGATTTATGCCCTTTAAGGGCGTAAATCGTTTACGCCCTTAAAGGGCATAATTTTTATGCCTTTGTTGCACCAGTGTGATATTAACGATGGTGATGATCCGTATGGCGGCGTGTACTGCACCCACGTTCGTCGGCATCCTGGGCGCGCCGGAGGTCCACCGACGACCGTAGACGGGTTCCTCGTAGCCCAGGACCACTCTAACGCGACGCTGAAGTCTGAAGTCCCGGACACCCAAACTGAACGAAGCTAGAGGCCAAAGCTGTTTTGGCCTCCGACTAAAGAGTTGCTTTGACGGACTCCTTGTGGTATTGATCTCTGAGAAGCACACTCTAAATGTTGTGCAGTGAAGGTTATCCATATTATGGTAGTACAGCTGACTTCATAACGTACCATTCACTGTACGTTGGTATTATGGAGAAAATCTCCACCATAATATGTTGGTGCAGCCTTTCACCGTAAGACATTTAGAGTGCAGTCTGGCAAAGCTACTTCGGCTTTTTGTTCAAAATTAATATTTTAAATATGCATTTTTCTAAAAAGTGACCCACAATTGATTTTTTGACAAGTTGCTTCTCCCAAGTCGTATTGACTTGCATTCTTTCCCATTCAACTATGGTGAGGCATGGGACTGGAAGCAAGATACGACACGCTTGATGGGTTGGCAAAGAGACAGTGACATTATCGGCAAATCGAGCGAATAGAACTGGACAATATGTATTGCGAATAAGAACTGAGAACTGACAATAACGTTAACAGCAGGAGTACCAACTTAAGCATTCACTACCAGCAGATACGCAAACGATCTTTTAGGTCACTAATATTTGTGGAGCAACGAAATTTCACTTCACAGTATCCTTAAAGCGATAGGGATTTTCATTGACTTGTTTCCCCTGCAGGTGTTGAGAATGCAGTTCGGGACCACGGCAGCGCTCGCCGCGGCGACGGTGGCCGTCGCGCTCACGGCCGTCTACGTCTTCTACGCGAGGCGTTACTCGTACTGGCGCAAGCGAGGCGTGCCGCACTTGAAACCCGTGCCCATCCTGGGGAACATGAACTTATTCATGAGCGGCTTCAAAGTCCTCCTGGAGAGGCTGGAGCAGTTCCGAGACGAGGGCGTGTGCGGCCTGTTCATGTTCTCCAGTCCCGCCCTCGCCGTCTGGGACCCGGAGATGGTGAAGCAGGCAAGGCGAAACGGGCTCGTTATAAACCCGCTTAAAACCTCACGAGGTATTTTGAGCATGCACAGTACAAACTAATTTTCTTTGTTATACGAAGAAATGTAGTTTACGAAGTAATTTCTTTGTAGGCTCACACTGAAAACGTAATGGTCGGACACATAGCCAAATTATGGCGTGACAAAAAGTCACGCCAAAAATTGGCGAAACACGAAATTCACGCCGAAAAACGGCGTGACATGTGAGTCACACCCTCATTTGGCGTGAATGACAACGCGTTTTATGAGACAAGTCACGCCAAAAAGCGGCATGACAAGAAATTCACGCCAATTTTTGGCGTGAATTTTTAAGTCACGCCGATTTTTGGCGTGACTTTTCTGTCATGCCGTTTAATGGCGTGACACTTAATTCACGCCTCTGCAGCGGCACGAAGTCACGCCGATAGATTTTCAGTGCATGTATGCTCAAAATACTTTGTTGTAACAAGCTTCTCTTTCTCTTTCTAGGGCCTAAAATGAGAAATAACATTAACTCGTGTCCATTTTTTTTTTTTCAAGAAACCATGTGAAAATTTGACGATATTAATCGAAATTTATACAAAATTTAACTTTAATTGGGGTCAAGAACAAGAACTCGCTATTTCAAACTCACTGAAATTCGTAGAAACGCACAAAAGCCAGTGAAAATTAAAGTCAAACTATGAAAACCTTACAAACCATTTCAGGCCTTACAAAGCAAAAGAACAAAGTATTTTGAGCATACATAAGCTTACAAAGAAAATACTTCGTAATCTTCGAACTATTTCTTCGTACAACTAAGTAAATTGCTTTGCACTTTGTACACACTATATGTCTTACGAAGAAATTTCCCATAATACAAAGGATATGGCGCAAGCATAATACGAAGGTGGTTTTTCTTCGTATTACGAAGGTTTTTCTTTGTATCTTACAATGAAAAAGCTAAAAAGATTCGTATTACGAAGAAATATTGCTTCGTATTATGCTTGCGCCGAATTCACTGTAACATACGAATAACAAAGGTCAAATTTCATTGTAAGACATTTAGAGTGTATGCTCAAAATACTTCGTGTTGTTTTAAGGGTGCACTATTTCTTGGAATTCACGAGAAATCCACTTCATTCAAATTCAACATTCATCGTGCTCCATCCAAAGTCACCAAAGGTCGTGAAAAACTGAACCCAAATTCAAGCTTTTCTTTCCCGTTTGGAAGCAGGTCCTGTGCAAGGACTTCTCGAGCTTCCACGACCGCGGCATGCCGTACGACGAGGCGGACCCTCTCAAGTGGCGCAACCTGCGCACCAGGATGTCGCCCACCTTCACGTCCGGGAAGATGAAGCGCATGCTGCCGCTCATGCGCGAGGCGGCCGACGACCTGCGCGACGCCCTCGCCGAGGGGGCGGCCAGGAGCGAGGGCAGTGAGGTGAGCGCCTCGCCGACTTCGTGCACTTAACCCAGAGCAGCTACGGAAAACCCTGTAAACAGCTTGTGGTAATTCTCCGAAGCTCCCTTGAGGACCCTACAGTATTCTCCGTAGGACCGTACAGTGATCCCCGTAGGAATATACACTGTGGTGTTTTCCTAAGAAGTTTATAGGCCATACGGTGTTGCGGGTTGCCTACCTTCCAGGCGCCACAAGTGGAACAAAACAGAGAGAAGTCAAGTATACAGTTTATTAAGGCCACCTCTGGAACTTGTGGACTCCGTCCTTCTTACCATGTCATTTTTTTAGTCAGTGTGGCATTTGCGGAGTTGTGTTCCACTAACCACAATTTGGCATATGGCTGTATGTCAAACTCGCGTAATTCAGGCCCATTTATATTTAAGAGTAGAAGGCAGCCTACATTAATGACAAGCAGTCTAGTGCGAGTTGGGGTACATATTAAGTTCATTTGGTCGAGCGGTGCCTCGGTATTTGGGGATTTTCGAGGCGTATGGCCGCGTATGCGACCGTATGGCCTGGAAAATTTTATAGGCCATACGGTCCCCCCGATTCCGTTAATAGGCCATACGGCGTATGGCCCCGTATGGCCCGGAAAACACCACTGAGTCTTCCAGGTCCTACGGACAAGACTGTACGGTCCTACGGAGGATACTGTACGAGCCTACGGAGAATATTGATACATGGGCTACGGAGAATCTTGGCAAAAAATAACAGAATTTTCCGTACCTTTTTTTTCCACAGAGCACACTGCAAGAAAAAAAAATTCCAATGCTAACGCATTGCACGGTGTTCCGGTTGTGGAAATGAATTTGAAGTCTGTCGTCTAAACATTAATTACGTTAATTTTACCGTTATTTACGTAACTTTGAATCCTACCGGCATTTTTACATCCCCAAACCTGATTCAGTTAACACAATGACCATCTCAGTCCATCTCGCGATGTCGCGATTTACAGGGCTCATGTTCGTCAAACGAAAGTCATCCGCGTTTCGAAACCACCTCTCCCGAGTTTATAAAGTTCGTCAAACCAACGTCGTGCTGGTTACAGAATTGGGGAAAACATCACAAGAGAACCGCAACCTTTAAAAGCAAGCCAAACAATTCAACCTCAGCAACAATGGAGGGGCAGTTTCAATGCGCGACTACTCGTTTTTCCAGCCTCGCGATTTTCGAAAGGGCGCAGACGCCGAGAAAATTGTTGCCAACCCCCGACAATTAATTTATTGCGTCTTTTTTGCTACGAACTTTTTACTGACAGACTTCAAAGATGTTCCAATGTCGGGACACCGTGCAATGCGTTAGCATTGGCATTTTCGAAATTCACGGCGTTTTGATTTCTTTTTATCGGCGACTTTAAATTTTGACAGTTGGTACGATGACACCGTGTCGTTGCCATGGTGACTTTTTTTTCATGTTTTAACTATTTTGTCAGAACAGACATGATTTTTTGTCACTTTGATGAGGCAGGATGCTTAGTTTTGGGGAGTAGCACATTTTGTCTTTGAAACGTTTCTGGAAAATGTGAAGGGATAAGGGTGCTTCAATGTTGCAAATTTATGTTTTTGTCGTTTGCGTTAAATTCTTACGATAAATTTTCGAAATTTTCAGCAATTTTCATTTTTTTATGATAAGGAGTAATTTGGCGGGAACCATTTTTAGATTTGCGTCGGCGGAAGGAAAAGAATCTGAGCCGTCCCGGGCAATAGGGGTCCTCCTTCGTCGGAACCCCTAAAAACAAAAGTAGACATTCTTGGCAACTTTTTTTATCGGGAATTTATTGTGCTCACAAAGTACGACAATTGTTGTATGGAGTTCAATGGAACCGGCACGACGAGTGCTGTGCAATCCAGGCCTCGTTATGCATAAGCCATGCAAGCCATGGCTTGTACATATCTCGTTGTATTTCCTACAATCCCTGCTGTACTTTCACTCTACAGTTTTTGTTGCACTATTCACACTTTTCCTTGCCGTGCATTTTCCGTGCAAAAAATCGGATTTTTTTTTACGGTGGCATGTTGCGTTCTCCAGGTAACTCGAATTGTTGGATGGAACAGCAAGTTGAAATGGGCATCCGGCAATTTGTGTCGCCTGGTGGACACAACATTGACGGATGTTCATGAAGTTGCATGCTTCGTGGGACATTTATGTGTGTGCGTACAAATTTCAACGAAGGAGTTCGCATGTTGAGAACAACGGACACAAGTTATGAAATTCATGTAGTGTGCACGACTCTTTCCCAACCCTTCAGCGTCTGTTCCCTTCCCAGGTAGACATGCTTCTCTTCTTGCACCGTTTCTCCACGGACGTGATCGGTTCCTGCGCTTTCGGCATGCGCTGCAACTGCCTGCGCGAAGAGAACAACAAGTTCCTCGCCATGTCGCGCAACCTGCTGCGGCAGACTTTCGGACAGCTTCTGCGCGTCATGCTCAACTCTTTCAGCCCAAGGTAGATACAGCTGAAGCTCTGATTGTGACATTTTACAATGGCCGTTGAAGCGCTGGAGCACTGTGGCGAAAAGCTAAGGAAAATTCTGTTAACAGCTTGAGATTCTCCGTAGCCTCCTTGTCAATATTCTCCGTACCTTACAGTATTCTCCGTAGAACCGTAGTCTTCTCCGTAGGACCATACAGTCTTACACGCCCTACGGAGAACACTGTACGGTCTTACGGATGATGCTGTACGGTTCTAAGGAAAATACTGTAAGATCATACAGAGAATAAGATGGCTACGGAGAATCATGGCAAAAAAATTGAACAGAATTTTCCGTCCTTTTTTGCCACAGGGTGACATTGGGAATGTCAATAAGGCGTGACCGCCACCTCCTTTCCGGTGCTCGAGTTTCCCCACTGAGATTCCAAACGCTATGAGTACAGCACGTGGTGCAATGCAGCTGAGGTATCGCGCCATAAGTGCAATGCCATAGCCATATTGCACCTTACGTGCAATGCATCCCGAAAATGCCCTATGCTAATGCATGGGAATGGGGTGGGGAGGCATTGCACTTCATGTGCAATGCTTTTGCATTGCACCAATTGACGCTATACTCATAGCGTTTGGATTCTCAGTGCCCTTTTGCCATCTTTTTTCTTTACAGGCTGGCCGCATTATTGCCGATGCGGTTCCTCTTCCCGGAGGAACACCAATTCTTCCTCACCCTGATGCGCGACACGGTGGAGTTCCGCGAGAAGAACAAGGTGCAGCGCCACGACTTCGTCGACCTCATGATGCAGCTGCGCGATGCCGGCCTGGACCACAGCGACCCGGACAACCACGTGGAGCTGACGACCAACATGATGGCGGCGCAGGCAAGCACTAAAGTCCAGCCTTACGGAGGGACCCGAGAGCACAGTAAAAAAATTATACGAAGCATCGCTTCGTAATACGAAGAAAACGAACGCATTGTAAATTCTACGTACGAAGGATTACGAAGCAAAATCCTTCGTAATACGATGCATTTCTTCGTGATAAGAAGCAATTAAACAATACCTACATTTTTTTCGTAGTTTCAAGCAAAAGCGTTGCAGGCTTTTTGGTGTGCGAAAACATGGTCCAAAATTGCTAGGAATAGTACTTTCAATGTTAAAGGCTTTGAATGTGCATGGAACGTTTCAGGTTCAGGGTTTTCAACCACACTGAGAAAAACTTAAAAACTATTTTAGGGCTTACAAAGAAAACCTGCTTGTTATAATAAAGTAACTTTCAAAGAAAATACTTCGCAATTTACGAGCTTTTTCTTCGTACAACAAAGTAAATTAGTTTGTACTATGTATGCCTAAAATACTTTGTATGGTTTTAGGCGTGCACCTTACAACCTATGTAAGCAGTGATACTTGGCCCAATACCATACTTGGCCCAATTAATGGCCGAAGTTCCAATTTCAGGAAATTGGTCCGCAAGTTTCACCAGCGTTGCCCTTTAAAACAGTCTTTTGAACAGTAACTATGGGTTCGCTGTCGCTCCGCTCTGCTTTGCTAGTGATACACTCTTTATGTCATGGGACATGTTTTTGTCCCACAAGATATGCAACATCCGAAGGTGATACAATTTTATTCCCGGCATTTTGTCTGACGCCCAATGCAGAGTGTTCTTTCTTTAGACAATTTTGTACCGCCTGTCAGTCACAAAATTGCATCACTGTCCGATGTGTATTGATTGCATACATCGTGGTACTAAAAAAAGCCCCGTGACATTAAGTGTGTATTTTTTTAGAGAGATGTGGAGGACAGCTTTGCAGCTACGGCGTTGTCTAGCATCAAAGTCTGACTCTCCCTCCGTCCTGCAGGCGTTCATCTTCTTCGTGGCCGGCCTGGACAACGTGTCGAACACTCTGGGATACTGCCTGAATCGGCTGTCCATCGACCAAGCGCTGCAGGACCGAGTGCGCGCCGAAGTGGACGACGTGCTGCGGCGCCACGGCGGCGACCTGTCCTACGAGGCCCTCAAGGAAATGGACCTCGTCAACCGCACAATCCTCGAGGGCCTCCGTCTGTGGAACCCAATCGGTGTCCTCTTCCGGAGGTTCGTCTCAGTCACTGCAGTGAGATTCCAAACGCTATGAGTATAGCACGTTTCGTGCAATGCATTGAGATATCGCACTATACGTGCAATGCCACAGCCATATTGCACCCTACGTGTCATGCGTCCCGAAAATCCCCTTATGCTAATGCATGGGAATGGGGAGGCATTGCACTTCATGTGCAATGCTTTTGCATTGCACCAATTGACGCTATACTCATAGCGTTTGGATACTCAGTGTGCCAAACCGGTGGCACGTTTGCCAGGCACTAATCACAGCTCTGTCGAATGCCGGAAATTGGCAATAAGCCTTGACCTTGAAATCCTTATAAAGTGGCCAATATTTGACGCTACGGCCCTCAAAGCCATTTCTATTTGCATTGATTATTGATGGCCTTGCATTAGTTTTGGGCCTTAAGGGTGCATTTATTCGCCTTTGACATAGTTTCGCCCTTGCTCGAGCCCTTGCTTAAATTTTAGGAGGAATACACCAGCAATTCCAAGGGCCCTATTCAAAAGATCTTATCGGGGCGTTCCCCCCAAAAGAATCTTATCTGAAACGCTCTCTCAGCACGTTATTGACTTTTTGCTCAATTTGCCAGTACTTATGCAAGTAATTTGTGCAACCATAAGACGTACTTTTCCTTCTTAAAAGAACTACTTAGTGAATATTAAATAATTTACTGAGAACTTTGTATCTACAGATGCATACTTGCAAGTACACATCTACAGATGCATACTCAGCTGAGTACAAATCTACAGATGCATACTCAGCTGAGTACAAATCTACAGATGCATACTCAGCTGAGTAAACATCTACAGATGTGTACTCAGCTGAGTATGCATCTACAGATGTGTACTCAGCTGAGTATGCATCTACAGATGTGTACTCAGCTGAGTATGCATCTGTCGATGTGTACTCAGCTGAGTATGCATCTGTAGATGTGTACTCAGCTAAGTATGCATCTGTAGGTGTGTACTTGCAAGTATGCATCTGTAGATGCATACTGAGTACACACTTCAGTTTGTAGAGTATACTCTTAGCGTTTGGAATCTCAGTGCAGTGACCATTCATTCCACTTGTGTTGGCCCCAGGTGCAACGCCACGACCAAGGTCGGGGACCTGGTGGTGGAGGAGGGCACGGCGGTGTTCGTGCCGGCCGTCATGCTGCACATGGACCCCGACCTGTTCCCCGAGCCGGCGCGCTTCGACCCGGACCGGCACACTGCCGAGGCGCAGGCGGGCCGCCACCCCTACTCCTTCATGCCCTTCGGGGAGGGCCCCCGCGTCTGCATCGCGTCGCGCTTCGCCCTCATGGAGCTGCGGCTCGCCCTCGCCGTCCTCCTGCGCGACTTCGCCTTCAGCCCGGGGCCCAAGTTCGAGCGGGACATCGAGCTGGACACCAAGCACCCCCTGCCCACTCCCAAGAATGGGATCCGACTTCGCGTGACGGCGAGGGATCGGAAGCAGCCTCGTGAAGACGAGCTGTCTTAGCGCGTTCGCCGAAGAGACGAAGGACTTAACAAGCCTGGCCAGCAACCCCTTCGCTCGTCGCTGAAAGAAGAACAAAAGGAATCAAAATGCAGGAACCGGTAGCGGCCGATGCTGAGAGCTCCGTCCAAACCAACGCTTTCAGGGTTCAGCTTTTGACTGTCCTCACTTGCGGTTACTGGATTTTAGATTACTGTACACTCAGAGGGTTTGTACAGAAGAGGGTTTGACTTTCGAACCCACACCTTGGCTCGAATAAACCAGCCTTACGTAGGATCGAACCCGTCTCGGTTCGAAAATAGGACACGGTGGCGTATACATCTATGGTTCGATATTTTGTCAAGATGAGGGTTCGGTTTTCAGCTTTGTAAATCAGATAAGCATTACCTTGCAGATTTAGATTAATCTAAATCTGCAAGGTTATCACGAAAAGACAAACATTAAATGTCAACACATGTCAAGGGTCAAAATGGAAAATGAAAGAGTTATTGGATTTTTGGAGGGCTTGGTCACAAAGCCATAAGAAGTTCAATAACTTGTCTAGTTTCCATTTTCACCCATCACATGTGTTGACATTGTTTGTCTTCTTCAGACGAACTCAAATCTGTAAGGTGATGTGTGTTTGCTCATGTCTGAAAATTGACGCCAGGTGCTTCCCTGCGAATGTCCGCAGAGCCAAAAGCCGGCGAAGCGGTCGGAAATCCCCCTGTCCGAAAATCGGACCCCCTAGGGTTCGACTCTACTTGCGCCCGATTTTGAAACTGAGCGACTATTGGGACCACCTTTTCACTGTTCGAAAATGGAGCCCCCATTGCTCTCGGACTCGCTATTGACAATTTTTCCTATCTCTGGAAATTTGTGCAACACTAATAAGTTACTTACGCTTTTCTGATTGTTGTCAGCATTTTTGTTACTGACAAAATCAATTCCTAAATGATCTTATGCAGCAAATTGTTTGTATCAAAGAAGAAAGTACTACATTATGTTGTAGGCCATATAGTACACTGAGATTCCAAACGCTATGAGTAGCACATATGGTCCAATGCACTGAGAGACCGCACCATTCGTGCAATGCCATAGCCATATTGCAACTAACGTGCAATACAACCCGGAAAATGCCCTTTAGTTTTACGCATGGAATGCTGCGGGTCCACGTCGTGAGGTGCTGGTGACACCCTAATTAGGTCAATCCAGCATCTCCTGATTCCGTAGATCATAAGGATCATTTGCTTTCGTACCTGAAGCGGATCAGGGGCTGGAGATAGGGACGTCATGCAGACCGTGACTGGGACATAGACTATGTTTAGTTTTTGAAACAGAGTCCGAGGAGGACCTCTGCATTACTCATAACAACATCGAAGGTTAAGTTTTTAGTTTGTAGAAAATTAAATTTCATGTCATATTCCTGTGTTCATTGTAAATGTTTGCACACCGTGTACTGCCATTCATTTCTGCTAATCTTATTTAAAAACTTCATATAAAAGATAAATAAAATGAAACAAAAAAAAACCTATGTCCCTATCTTTGGAACAGTTGTATTTGAGCATACAACTTAAAGGAACGTTAAAATAGCCTGAAATAAGGTTAAAAACGTTGAAATCAAGTTACTTTCATTTAATTCATTTGAATTGAAAGGGAATAAAATTTTTCGAATATGCCTGCCGGACTTGCCCCATACTGTGAAAACCATACAAGCTATTTTGGGCTTTAATAACAAAAGAAGCTCGTTATAACGAAGTATTTTCAGCCTACAAAAGCATACATATTACTGCAAATTACTTCGTAATTTAGGAACGAACACTCAGCGCGTTATGGACTTTATGCTCGTTTTGTCCGTGCTTATGCAAGTAATTTGTGCAACCATAAATACGTACTTTTCCCCTTTTAAGGAGCTACTTAGGAAATATTATTGGCTGAGCGATAGCGAAGCCCGTTACTCCAGTGCACTGTTAAAAATCCACTGTAATTTTACAACACAATCACCTACAGTAATGCTGTTAAATAACAACAGTATTGTTTTGTGTCTGAACGGGAAACCCATCCATAAACAGCACTTTCGTTTCATAACAATTTCCTTGTCAAGTAACAACACTGCAATCGTCATTCAAAATAGTTGTGTTGTCGTTGAACAGGTTTCATGTTTGGAAACAGCCTTTTGCGATCTTCAAACATATATTGTTGTCAGGTTACAAGGGTCTTGTTTAAAAACAGCACGATGAAATCAACACAAATGTTGGGAAGACATCGTCGAAGACTTCAAAGAAGTATTGTTTTATTACAATCGAACTGTCAGAAAACAGCACCGAGGGCTACAACATGCTTGTTATAAAACAAGGTGTGCTGCTATCAAACTTAACAGCATAAGTGCTGTTAATTTACAGCACTTTTTTTAACAGTGTGGGGTTAAAAAAAATTCTGTCTGTGTGCGTGTGTGTGCGCACTACTCCTCCTGAACGGCTGGGCCGATCTGGCTGAGATTTTGCAGGAGGTATGTTCTTGGCTCGGCACACGCGAAATTTCACTATCCTAGCTCACGTTCATTTTTTATAGCCGAAAAACACTGGCGTAAACCTACCTTGTATAATGGACTGAGAATTTTGTTTCGTACTTAATGTTGCAAAGGAAATTAGTCATACTTACTTAGAGAATACCAAGTATTATTGTTGTTTATACGAATACGTAATTAATGACGAAAAAGTCATTAACCTGCTGATAGTGAATTCTTCGAATAACAAAGGAAAGAGATTGTACCTTACATATGCTCAAAATACTTCGTCAGGTTTTCAGCGTGCCTCAACGAATGTGACGTCATATTCTTTAGAACGTGAATTTTGTCGTTTGGACATGGCGCGGCCGTTTAAATAGGATGTCACACTCGTTCGAACGTGAATCAACATTGAAACGAAATGTGACGTTATATTCAAACGAACGTGACAAATTGCACATCCAACGCGTACCGTACAATGACGTCACATTCGTTGCAGAACATTGCAGTGAACACGCATAAAACCTTACGAAGTATTTTGAGCAAACACACTGCAGAAAATAACCACAACAAAAGTACACAAATTTCTGGCAAATTTTTTATCAGGAATTTAGTGTACTTTTCAAGTACAACAATTGTTGTACAAAGTACAACGGAACCGGCATGACGAGTGCTGGGCAGTCCAGGGCTGGTTGTGGTTTGTACAATTCTCGTTGTACTTTCTACAATCCCTGTTGTACTTTTATTGTACAGTTTTTGTTGTACTTTTGTTGTACTATCCACACTTTTTCTTGCAGTGCAGAGTACAAACTAATTTGGTTTGTTATACGAAGAAGTAGTTCGTAAGTTACGCTCTTTAAAAGCTTATGCTCAAAATAGTTTTTTATATCAAGGTACTTTTCTTTGTCATGCCGGAAATAGTTGGTATGATATTTAGAGTGAAAACGACCGCTGGCCTGCCTTCGGCAGACACTCTAACCACACATCGCGACACTAAGGGACCTGATCGCATGTCAAAGCAGCATTCGGTTCCAACTTTTATGCTGGGGGGCTCCGCCCCCAGACCTCCCTTTCAAGTAACGGGGCGACAGGGTTGGTTCGATGGCAAACTGCATGACGTTTATGGTTTGACATCCCAAAAATTCTGGCTAACTTTTGACACAAACACGGAGACAGCCCTGTTCCCACGCTCACTTGGCAGCTTCAACACGGCTAAGTTCGTCAGTTTTTCACAATTCTTCCTCCTCCACCGTGATGTCCTCCACGTGTGGCGCCAGTACGCCTGCCTCGGATGGAAATGGGAAGCGGGTCCACGACCTGAGCCACCCTTCCCTTGACCCTTTCGCTGTCGGCCATCAAGAGGGGGACAAAACCGCCCAAGCGATTCCAAACACCCTAAAACAAACAAAAATCGTAACATGAGATTCTCTCACACAAGGTTTCACTTCACGCCAGAGGAAAGGCTAAATAAAACACTCTCAGTCTCGTACTGATTTCTTGTTAATATGTACGTATAAATTTTGTCAATTGCTTATAGAGGTTTGTGCGCATTAATAGTATTGACAATTTTGTTACGAGACTATTGACAAAATAATGTTAATGCAAAGTTACAAAAAGGTTAATACAGTTACAAATGAAATAGTTGATTGCTCTTGACAAATTTATCAGTAACAATTAGTATTTTTAAAAAATTCGGCCATAGGTCCAGAGACAGCTATACTAATAAAATTATTCATATGCAGTGATAAAATTATCAGGACATCTATTAATAAAATATTTAATGATCCAATTAACAAAATGTCAATGCCCACTGACTAATTGTTTGTAACTATATTGATTTATTATTATGGTGGTTTATAAGCTGTGGTGCAGAATGAGAAGGGGTTGAAATAACACGATAATTCTGTTCTAAGGCATACTCTTTAATTATTTCTTAAAAGCGTCTATAACTTAGGAAACACAATGACAGAACGTGTTTGTTTACAAAATGTCTCATTTGTTATAACTTGTTGCAGGTGCAAAAAGCTACTCCTCAGTAGTGGCAGACTAACTCCAGGCCAAGGTGGACCAAGATCTGGGATTGGGTCTCGGAATCGGTTCAAACTTAGTGGGTCCAATAGGTACCACTGGGATCTTTCAACCCTAAGAGGAAAGTTGGCTAGCTGAAATAACACCAGAGATATTAACAGTTTTCTAAATTTGGCCAATTTAGCGGGAAAGTGTCGCTTTCTGAATTTTTGATAATAAAAGTTGCTCGCACAGTGCTGGCTTGTGCTTATTCTTTTTAGTCATACAAAAAGGAGGAAAATGGTGCAGGCCAAGTTTTGTACGTTGCTTGGTTTGGCCTACACCAGCAATTTTGTTGAAATCATCGGAACTCTCATCCCCAAAATATTCCACTTTAGATTTTACCCTGGTATGTCTCATTTCACTTCTTTTACTGTAATAAATAATTACTATACAGTTCTTAGGAGACTAAGGAGACTTCTAGGGACTGCATAGTAACTGTCTATTAGAGTAAAAGAAGTGAAATGAGACATACCAGGGTCAAATCTAAAGTGAAATATTTTGGGGATGAGAGTTCCGATGATTTCAACAAAATTGCTGGTGTAGGCCAAACCAAGCAACGTACAAAACTTGGCCTGCACCATTTTCCTCCTTTATGTATGTCTAAAAAGAATAAGCACAAGCCAGAACTGTGCAAGCAACTTTTACTATCAAAAATTTAGAAAGCGACACTTTCCCGCTAAATTGGCCAAATTTGAAAACTGTTAATATCTCTGGAGTTATTTCAGCTAGCCAACTTTCCTTTTAGGGTTGATAGGTCCCAGTGGTACCAACTAGATCCACAAAGTTTGAACTGATTCCGAGACCCAATCCCAGATCTTGGTTTTGGTTGGCCTCACATTGCAGTGGCCAGGCAGGCAGGCAGGCAGGCAGGGAGGCGGCCAGGCAGGCAGGCAGGCAGGCAGGCAGGCAGGCAGGCAGGGAGGCGGCCAGGCAGGCAGGCAGGCAGGCAGGCAGGGAGGCGGCCAGGCAGGCAGGCAGGCAGGCGTGAGACTGGAACAGCAACATCCACAAGACCAGCGGAGACCCAGACACTGGAAAACATAAAACAAACGTTATTGATTATGAGAGATAAATAAAAGTGTGATTAATTAGAAGTCTTTAAATATGTTACCCTACCTTGAAAATCCTTATTTAATGTGTAAACTGGATTTGAAAAACAAAAAGTGCTGTAGTACTAACATTGCAAAACATGTCAGCACAATTTAATGATCTGGATTTGACCAATCTATCAGACTAGAGCAGCAAAAATATTGATGTTTCCTCACCTGCAATCCAAAAATTTAATTAATAATACATCACATACGACAACAGGATCATAATTATACATCTAAAAGACACAAGAAAAGAAATATAAAAAAAATATTGCATCTGACTGTATATTATTACTGAGAGAAAACAAAAGTCTTACAGAGAAATTATAAACAAATTGTACAACAATGTACTAGAATCTCACAGCATAAGATGAGACAAAACTAAATAATAAAGGCAACAAAAATACAATAACACACTTGTTATTTAAACAGTACAGCCACACAGTAATAAAGGACTGTCACAAAATCAACAAAATGAAGAAAAATTATCAAAATTCAAAATGACACCATCATATTTAGTCAGAAAAATCAAAGAAAAAGGCTTGAGAAATCAAACACTGAAATCAAGCTACAAATCAAACCCATGGCGGGTAAAAAATTCCTTTCCAGCGTTGGACAATTTATGTTTCTCTATGCCAAGAACCCCGTGCTCCACCACCTCCCAGAAAGATTTCCATCCCAGGGGATATTCAGCATTAAAAACATGGTATGCTTTAAATAGAACATCTAATCCAAACATTAGAGAATTACTCCCCAGCTCAATAAATTTACTGTCAGCTACTAAAAATTGTTTGGACACTTCATTGTCAGGCACCATAGCTAATAGATAGGGCTGAACAGGGCCAGAAGCATTTTCTCTTCTTTCTCTGGCCATTGTTTCAACATTGCATCCCACCTGAATTATACAAAATGAAAACAAAAGAATATGTGTCAGGGCTAATTCATAAATAAAAGGGTCACAAGCTAGATAAAAAGTTGCATACCGGAATGAACTGGACCAAGTCTTCTAACTGAGGCATCACACTTTCCCTTGCTTTGTTCCGTCCGTACCTCCTGAATCGAGCCAAATTAGGTCGTGGCAAAGCAGTTGCTATAAGCATGCATGCCTTCAAGACTTCTGTGGAACAAAGAGAAAACATTGTCAAACTGGGTCTGACATCTGATTGAAAACAGGTTCACACACACACACTATAAGGGGAAAGCTTACTTGATTCATCTAATCCAATGTCAGTTTCAAGGGTCATTTCTTGAATCTGTTCATCCAATTTTTCCATTAGCAAAGGAAAGTTTTGGGTGAAAAGATTACCTTTCTCGGGGTGAATGAGCTCAAACTCTTGCACAAGCTAGAGAAAACATTTATCAAGACATGATAATTCTACTCCTTATTTTAATTCACAGTTAAATACATACCATTTCACCTCCAAAGGACATCAAATGAAGGTATTTGGCTAAAACTTGAGCCACTGTAGGTTGCATATTAAGAATCCATTTGCGTCTCACTGGAAATGAATCTTGCATGCCTTTCACCAGAGACTTCTTGTTAGCAGCAAAAGGCATTGTCAGGTTCATCCATGAAGCCTGAAAAGAAAGAATACATATTAAAAGGAAAATTAAGATAAAAACTGCAATTTCAAGCTACACCAAACATACATTTTTGTCATTATAAGCATTTTCATTGTTTGGATCATCTTCTATCTCCTCTTCTTCTGCTTCATCACTTGATACTCTACTTTCACTTCTCTTTCCCCCGCCACGAAGGCGTTCCGACGGGTCCGCACTCCGAAGAATATTGACACAGCAGTTGGCGATGAATCCTGCTGGCCCTTCTCTGTCCAAGATCCGCCACTGTAAAGTGAACAAACATTTTTAAATTTAATTTTAAAAAAAGGAAAAGGGAATAAAGCTACTATGACTTAGGGTCTCTACAGAGGCCAATGAAGAAAACATACCCAAGAAGGTTTTGTAGGATGGCTATCCTTGAAAAGGGGATACTTATGCACTATGCTGGCAGCGAGTCCCTCCTTCATGTCCATAGTCACTAGCTTTATTTCTCTGTGAGAAAAAAGCGGAAAGAGATTTGAATGAAACAAAACATACCCAAAGTGATATGAGACAATGAAGGTATGCTGTACTTACTTTACATGTTCATAATGCAGCCATCTTGTTAGCACACGCATAAGTAACTTCCTATCCTTGTCATAAACAATGCCATCCTTATCAAGTTTCTTCTTGACAGCTTTGATCCCTGGTTTTTTCATGCTGCCCAAGATAGATTCAACATCAAACTGCAGAAAAATAATGTTAAAATGAGTAAAATCAAATCTTTTTAAAGACTTAGGATAGTAACCCAAGATCAAATCACTGGTCATTTGACAAAGTGGCGTAAGTCCACCAGAAGTCAGATTCTTTCTTTGTAAACATTTTTCGGTGCAGCTACTAATCAGGAACGCCTTCAGAATCATTGCAGATTTTGTTCTATATGTACATCTGGCCACTGTGCTTGGTATAGGTACGGTCCCAATGATAAGTAATCAAATTTACCTCATAACAAATGCCTTTTAGATAATTACAGTGAAACTAAATTTTCTTTCAAAGGCCTTTGGTTAAAGGTAAATTTGATGACTTATCATTGGGACCATATCTATACCAAGCACAGTGACTAGATGTACATATAGAACAAACTCTGCAATGATTCTGAAGGCGTTCCTGATTAGTGGCTGCACCGAAACATTTTTACAAAAAAAGACTCCAACTCCTGGTGGACTTACGCCACTTAGTCAAATGACCAGTGAAATATGACTTACAGATGGCAGGCTTGCAATCAATTCAGCTTCACTGAGTCTAACTTTGGGTCGCTGAAATTAGAAATGTGAATCCTAATAGCAGCAGTTAACATATTACATAAATTTATAAAGAAATATGGGATTATGCAAAAGAGCTTATGAAAAACACACAATGGGTCACAAACACCTAATTAAAATTCATGATTAAGTAGGAAGAAATGATAAACAAACCTTTATAGAAGTCTTCTTCTTTTTTGACAGATATTTGAAAGAACTGCTCGAACTCCGTTTACGGTAGCCTGCACTACTGCCACTTGTCGATGGTCTCTGCATACTAGGCCTAGAACTGCTACCACTTGCTGATGAACTCTGTTTACCACCGCCTGCTCTTGAGTTACTTGTTGGAACAGTAATTGAACTGGAACTGCTACCACTTGCTGATGAACTCTGTGGACTACAGCCTGCTCTTGAGTTGCTTGTTGAGGCAATATTTGAAATATCTTGGGTCTTAGATGTATTGCAGAAGCTGGTTGTTGAATTAGTTGACTCATGCTCAAGACAAACCTAAAAAAAAAAGAGAAAAAGAAAGATTTATGATGAAGAAAAGAGCATCTAGAACCGTACTAAAATATATTTGTTACCTTTCTCTTCTCAGCTGGTTTCTTTGGTTCAGAAGATTCTAAACGATTAGGCATCATAAAAAATGGAGGTTTAGGATGCAGACCTGAAAAAAAAAAAATACAAGTTAATGGTTCTCACAGAGGGCCAGATGTAGCTTAATATTAAGTGAGTGGATGGTGAACCAACCTAATTTAGTTGCATCAACATATAATTGCTTTGCTGAAACATAACTTCTTTTCTGATGAGAACTCATTTTTTTAATCTCAAGGGCAGTAAAGTAATTTTCAACGCCTTGAAAACCATCAACAGAGCTGACAGTACTTGACGAATCCTGAGATTTTAGAGTGAATTGAGAAGATTATCCTCAACATATTAGTTAGAATCCAATGAAATTATTTATTTAACAAAACAAACCTCTTCATTAAGGTAGTCACTTAAGTTCATGTCAGTAAAAGATCCATGTTCACTACCGGGACTTGATTCCTATAGAAAAATAACAAGCATGAAACGTGAGCAATGTAAGATCAGCTGAACTGTACAACGATGCAGGAACTTTACCCCTGGAGTCACTGTTGACGATGTTCCATCGAGAGTCGTTGTTGTACTCCCTAAGGTTGCTACTGTTTCATCTTGAGCTAGTGTCGATGCAGTTCTCTCCTGAAATGTCTTTTTCAGCTCAGAGCTGTCATCAACTGGCAATTTATCGTTCTGAAAATTTAAAATAAAAATACGCAATGTGAAAACTTCAACTTGAAAACATAACCAACAAATGATGTACTACACTACAGAAAACAGGTGCAGCTTACATAATCATGGATAGCCGCCTTGATGTCGACGACATCACCGTAAGATAGACCCATTGCAGACCAGTCCGAAAGAGTCCATTTGACAGCCCTCTTGCCAGTAACCCTAGCATCTGAAAACCAATGACTTCAATGTTACTCGCAAACTCGACACAATATTACCTAACCTATTGTCAAGCAGTGTTACCTTCTATTTTCTTGATACTTTCAGGTGCAACATCAGGGCAGGCCTGAGATAGGTACGAAACCACTTGCTTCGCAGTAAGATTTTCCATCATTCAAGACCGTAGACTCAAATGACGGTGAGAAACGCCAGTTCTTATTGAACGATAACACACAACGTTTAGATAAAAAGGCTTGGAGCTAGTGGTATCAGTCACCCAAGAAAACGAACGCCACGCTATTTCGAAACGTAGAGCAGAGCAAGCAAATTCATAGGCTAGCCTGCTTGTTTCTCCAAGGTTCTGAGTTCCACTCGCGCCCGCGCCGTGGATGCGCACTGACCAGCGTAGTTTAGCACTGCACTGTGGACGAAATTTGACAACAAATTAGCCACATAGTTGATGACAGCCACACAATCATAACAAATTCATTCTGTAGTAAAAAAAAAAATAGATCTATTCACATATCAGTTCTAGCTTTTGCCTTAGTTTCAGAAAGAAAAAAAAACAGAAAGCTACGAAAGTGACTGGACTGCAACTTGACTAGTGCATTCCTGTTCTGCCAAAAGCAAAACGTCCGAGGCGAGCAAAACACGTTAACAACTTGCCTTTTTATAAACAGAATTTTAAGTGAAAAAAAAAACGGAATGGTTTACAAATTTAACTTACTAACTTCACGCTCCGTTCGGCTCCGCGGTAGCGAAGGCTCTACGACACCGGCCTACAGACTGTCACTGACTTGAGTGGTGTCATCGGTGTGATTGGATGGGCGCTCCTGCCCGCAACCAATGAGAGCAGAGCTGAGTGTGTGCGCGCACTAACCGGGTATTTGAATCGGCTGCGTGTTCATAAGTAAAACTTCATTCACTCGCTCTCATTCTATTGAAATAAGGTGACCAAACAAAAAAATAAAATGTAATAAAAGAAATAAGAGAAGAAACTCAATGTCAAATGAAAGGAATTAAAGAAAAGGTAGCTCTGGCAATTGAAATAAAAACATAGACTTTTTAAATTTTTAAATGGACAAAAAATGTGAATCTAACTATGTTGTAATTTATTGGTGTGAAATTAAGTGGATGTTATATTGGATGTTCAAAAATGAACAGGTATAATTGAAGAGATAGCAAGGAAAATTATATTTTGAGTTAGACAAATTTATATGTGACAGACTTGCTGAGGCATCATCATTGAGTCAATAATTGCAAATTACTAACAAGTTCATACAGAAGAGAAAGGCATTAAGCTCAGAACTTCTGAAAAAATACTCAATCAAAACTAAATGTGACAGTAAAGACAAGATATATCAATACCATTGGCTTGCTCTTCAATACGTGTACTTCAAACTGGTCTTGGTAACAGGGCGAGTAGATGTTTCAAGCTCAGAGAATAGTCACCAATCTTGAATTATGTATGGCTGGTCTGACAAACAAAGAAAAAATACGACTGAATTAGTAAACGATAAGTAAAAACAAAGTTGAAGGCAGAAAAAGTATTAATTTCTAACTGCAATACCTGTAGAGATTGAACTGGCCTCAGCTGATTTAATGTCAAGCCCCTTTTGCAATCCATTCTCATGTAATCTGAAATAAGTAAAATGAGACATTCAGTCAAAATAAAAACAAGGTTATAGAAATGGTGTTAGATTCTTCCTGTATTACCTACAAAGATTGAAATAGGGTTTGGCAATTAAACTTCAAGCTGCTTTGTAGTTGAGTAAATTGAGCGCATCATTTAACTTTTGGCAGCAAGGTCTTGTCAAAAGATAAACCGATTCATACACCAGCTTCTGCAGCAAGAGCTGATCTTTCTCATGGAACCTAAAATTTAAAAAAAATCAAAGGAACATTGAATGAAAATATAATTATAAAATCACAAAAGAGGAATTTATAAAAAAATGTATTACCTGCAGGGTGCTGCCTCTAGAATATTATTGTCCTTGGTGCAATGAATGTGCGTCTACTTCGCCATGGATTCCACGGTGCAAAGCAGCGATGATTGGCAAGATGTTTGTGTTCCATCACCAAATGCTGATGGACTGCTGATGGTGTCACTTCATAAGCACAAAATCTGTTGACAAATCCCTCGGTAACCCATGGTTGCACGATGAAGTAAACATCTTGTCTGCACACATAAATCCGTTGGATGATGGCAAATGTTGGTTGGACATCATACAGCACAAAGAGGCCTGGCCTGTATTCGTCACCAGCAACTTTCACACTGCGACATATTTCAACCAGGCTCCCTGGGATGAGTCCAGCAGCAATTAACATGGCACTGTGATCGGTTGCTTCAACAGGAACCTCACCTTCCGCAGACACCTCTATATCTTCTCCTCTAGGAGTTGTATTTTGATAGCCAGCCAGAGTGCTCATTTGAAACATCTGTGCCATGGACTTGGGTGAGTTGATAAAGTTACAGCACACTGCACCATACTGGGAGAAAATTTTGTGCCGTCCTTCATATCGAGCTGTCCAATACCTGATAAGACATGCAAGTTCTTCCAACTGTTCGGCCAGATGTTTGAGGTGGTGCAATTTGTTTCCAGCTCTAACCCGTCTTGTATTGTTTTCAACAACCACAGCTGGCTCATCAACATTTTCTTCTTCAGCCTCAATTCCCTCATCTTCATCTTCCAATACAGCCTGACCAACATTCATATAGAGCTGTTGGAATAATGCATTATGCTCTGTAACCAAATCCCTTACCGCATCAATGTCTTGAGGGCGGCGGGCTTTATCAGAAAATGCAATCAACATGACCCTTTGCAGTATATTTACAAGCTTCAGGTTTAGGTTATCATCTGGTACCTCAGGAACTAAGAAACCAAATATTCTTATTAGACACCAAACTTGGCAGCCATTTTGCTTTAATTTCTTGCCACGCAAGGAATCATTAGTAAAATTTGGTGTTGGCTTGTTTTTCTTATCCATGATTCCATAGTTGAAGGAAACAAGGCGGTCATTGAAGTCCTGAACTGTAAATAAATTGTCATATTTTATAAAAGTACGCAAGGCAAGAGAGATATCCCACTGACAAACCCCCTCCAGAAAATCGTGAAATATATCAAAAACAGAATCTTGCATGGCATCAAATTCTCTGGTGAAGTGAAGGGGACATTCTCTTCGAACACCACACTCTGTGGCAAAGGCAGGTCTTTCAGAAACTTGTCTCACATGTTCTTGGAACGAAGCCTTTGTTCTTCTTGGACCCATAGCATTAGTGTTTGCTAGAAACTCTTGTCTAGTCACGAGACACTTGCGACAGAAACACCTGGCACCTGGGCCCAGTAACCCAATGATGTCATGAGCAGCGAGTGTGTCTGCAACCAATGTAGTCAAGGTAGCTCTCAGTACAAAGGGTTGACCATCGACAATAATATTTACTCCACGATCACTCTCAAGTTTCCTCAATTCCCCCAAAAATGGAGCTAGAACACTGTCAAAACCATTATCCACCTTGAGGTCTTCTGAATGAGCAAGAGCCAACAAAAGTATAGATGAAAGCTGGGAGTTCTCAATAGCTGGTAGATTTTGAATGGAGACATAGAACCCAGCCAATTTGTGGATAGTGGTTTTTGATCCTAACGCGTTTACCACTTCCAAATCATCCCAATACAACTGAAGCCGGATAATCTTCGGATAACGAGTCAATAAAACACGGCTTTGGGATCTTGTTCCATCTAAGTATGATCTGATGGTTCCATCAGCGCTGGGAGTCTCACTCTCTATAAGGTTCCGTATTTTAGGATTGGAGAGTGCTGAAGTTATTGTTTCTATTATGGAAATATATTCAAAACTCATTGGCACCTGGACAGGCTCGTATTGACCGGTAGCAGGATTGAGGAAATAGTCTTGACGATAGCCAATAAAACAGGTCTTAGGCTTCACCATGCCAAACTCTCTTGCAAAGTAGTTGAGTTGCTGTTTCAAACTTCGAACATGCCTAAACGGGTCTTCAAGCTGCAACTCTTGAAGCAAAGCTCTGGAGGCCGGAGAATCAATTCCTTCTGCAGTTAGGAACTCTCTAACTCTAATCAAATTGTTATCAGTGACAGTCCGAATCATTTGATTACACTCCACTTGAAATCTTTGAACTGCACTAGTTGTCACACCGCTTGCTTGACGAAGGTTCAAGGTACAACGGGCAGCAGCCTGACAGAGATCTTGAATGGCATCAGGACCAGGAAGTTCAACTCCCTCCTCTTCATTAGCATCATGATCACTGACTTCTGCATCATCTATAGAAACAGCGACAAATGACACGATATGAATAGGCGCAAAACATTTTAACTAAGGTATGACATAAAAATTAAAACATACCATGCTGTCCGCCATCTACCAAATCATCATTTTCATTTTCCAAATTAACTTCAGCATTTTGATCAACATTCATATCAACATCATCAACATTACCAGCACCGTCCAATCCATTTTCACCATTAGGATGATGGTTTTTCAAATGACGAACAAGAGACCTCAAGTGCTGAGTAGAGCCAGCATTACAGTAGGCACAGCGATATGGTGCAACATGAATCACGTTTGTGCAATGGCGAACAAAGCGTTTCAATCCTCGAACAACAATACCACATGGGAAACACCTGCAAGCAGACAGCCTAAAGTACACAAGAAAGTGGCGAGGTTAAATACAAGTTTGAGGCCAGCAACATACCGGAAATGAGCGCGTTCATAATTCGGACGAGCATCCATGGCGAAAAAATGCCAAGCTTTCGTACAATCTGAAAAGAAAATATTCCAACTTAATTCACAAAGAAAGAATCATAACCTCAGTTTTGGGACACACTGGTTCCGAGATGGGAGAAGTGGAAGTTGACTCGATTATAGACTTTAAAGGTAAAAAAATAAGAACCAAGAAGCAACTCACCTCCAGAATCCAGGTGATCATGGTTTTCTGGGCCCAATTGTTACAGTAAGTGTCGCCCAAAGTGTCACGGGCCGCTATGTTTTGATCAGACGATCAGACAGCCGACAAACAGACGGGACTTTCAGTGCCAACCTCGGCACACAAAAAAATTCTTGATTGATCTCACTACGAGAGTAGGTTTTTGAGTCAATACGAAACAGTTCAACCAAAACTAACAAAAAAATTAAAAAAAGTATACGTTTATTGAAATTGAAAGCGTTTTAGAGTTCATTCCATGAAAATGTGAATACCAAAAAATGTTGGAGGTTGGTAGCACGAATCACAAGGAATGCTCCCCTTGGGTGCAACTTTGGTCATTCCCTCTGTACTTAGAGCAAAGGGTAGGTGTTGTGCATCTGTGACGGAGAGCTCCACCACCCCTAGCTGCTGTGTGCTTGAGAACGTCATCGCCGTCGCGCTCTAAGTGACCTTTAGATTTTTAAGAGCGACTTAGTAAAATTTGGAAGGAATTAAGTGATTTTCAAAAACTTGGCAAAATTAACATTTGCTTACGGAAATGGTTGTCAAGATGAGCATTTCTGTCGACAAATGATAATTTTCACCTATCTAAAAAAAAATCACCCCACCCCTTAAATTAAAATTATACTAAGTCACTTCCTCCCCGGGTCTACAGCGCGAAAGACGTTTCAAGTACAGTGCCCCTTTCTCTCTCTCTCTTTGATTTGTTGTGCTTCAGCGTGTTTTGGATGTATCTAGGATCAACTAACGATATTGTTGGTTATTTTAGCTAACAAAACATCCTATTAACAATTTTTAAATAAAATATATGGATTAAACGGTCCTTAACTATTTGTTAACATTATTTTATTGACAAACCAGTGCGGGAACTTTTTGTCAATAGAGGATTTCTAGCTTATTGACAAATTTGTCAATAACTATTGACTTATCAATTTGTTAGTAGGTCTATTGACAAAAAAAGTCAGTACGAGACTGAGAGTGAAAACATACATGGCGCTGTTTTGAAAAACACGATATAATCAGTGTTATTTGTCAAAGGTCCTGTAGTATGATATGAATTGATAAATTCTAATAAAATTTAGGTGTCTCCACATTGCTTCAATATTATTGGTACTCACATAGCTGTTCTTTAGTTTAGACTCTACAGAAGTTAAACCGGTGAAAAATAGAATGGTTTTCAAGACCATTCAATTTGATTCGGTATACACACTAAATTACTATGTAGGTTTTTCTGCGCGCTAATGCACGAAATTGTACATGCACTTCCTAACGCACGAATTTGTGCGCGACAATGCACGATTTCCTGCATACTTGCGCACGAAATCCTGCATTTTCGCGCACAAATTCGTGCGTTACGAAGTGCATGTACAATTTCGTGCATTAGCGCGCAGAAAAACCTACATAGTAATTTAGTGTGTAAGCGGGGTGTGTGGGAGGCAGCAGCAACCCCCACTGTAACTGTTAAATTAAAAATTGAAGTAATAGAATGCAATCCTGATTAAGATGCCGAATGCGTCACTGCCCTTGTCCGGGTAAGCTGTGTGACTCACGCCGCCCGCTGCGCTCGGCGCTCTCCTCGCGGTCCCCTTCCCCGGCCGCTTCGCTACCCCCCCCCCCCCTCTCCCGTTCTCTCTACTCCTCGCCAGCCGCCGCCCGGCCCCCTCTCCCTGCCCCTTCCCACTGCGCCACGCTGCGTCATCGATCCAAGGCCGGCCGCTTGCCGGTGCCGGCCGGCAGGGCAGAGCAGAACAGTACTAGCGCGGCGCCGCTGAGAGCTCCACGCAACGCACACTGCCGGTAACCAGCTGGGTTTAGTGTGGCCGCCAGACCAGACTTCGCTGTTCTGCAACAAGTCGGTGCTCGGTACGGCAGCATCGAGCCGACTGGCGGACGACCTGAGCGCCCGTGCCTCCACGCCGACGTCAGCCCCACAGACAAGGAGTCGTGAAGTCGAACTCAGGTGAGTGTGCAGGCAGTGCAGACTGATGTCTTGACAGCAACACAGAAACGAAAGCGGCAGGTGAGGCCTGGAGCTCTACACTGTGGCAAAAAGGTACGGAAAATCCTGTTAATTTTTTTGCCAGGATTCTCCGTAGCCCTCTTATCAATGTTCTCCGTAGGCTCTTACAGTATTCTCCGTAGGGCCGTACAGTAATCTCCATAGGACCGCACAGTCTTCTCCGTAGGGCCTGGAAGACTGTACAGTCCTACGGAGATCACTGTAAGGTCCTACGGAGAATACTGTGCGGTCCTACGGAAAATACTGTGAGAGCCTACGGAGAATACTGACAAGAGGGCTACGGAGAATTAGCACAAGTTGTTTCCAGAATTTTCCGTAGCTTTTTGCCACAGTGTATCGCCGCGGGCACCGTGGGAAAAAATCTCAGTAAATCCTGTAATGTTAAGTACAGCCGTCACTGCAGTTCAGAGTACCGGATTCACTCTCATTCCAGGAACGTGACGTCACGTTCAAACGAACGTGACAAAATGTCACGTTCGTTTGAGCATTGTGTCACATTCGTTTGGGTGTGAATTTGCCAAAAATCAGCTTGGTCACACTCAAACGAACGTGACACAATGCTCAAACGAACGTGATATTTTGTCACGTTCGTTTCAACGTTTTGACATGTACTCATGTGAAATTAAACATAGTTTAATCCTAATAGGATTCTGCTTGGAAAGAGAAGTTTCGTAGACACACGGTCCAAAAAACGTGAAATATTGTCTCAAGTTACCCCGGTTTACGGTACTTTGCATCGTCTCGAACGGAACGTCACACGTCACGTTCCTTGTTTTTATCTGGGCAGTGTCGCGAGGTGGGGCTTGTATGCGGTCAGCGGATGTAGACCCTCAAAAAGTTGCTTTATAAAGACTTGAGTGCAAGTCGACTCTCGTAAGGACGCTATACTACGTGTTCTTTAATTCGCGTGGGGCGAACTGAGAAGGGAACTATGTTAGGTGTTACATCGAGATTTTCTTCCTATTCGGGATTTCGGAAGGGCATCTTTGTAGATTTAGATCGCGCATTAAAGTTCGTGCCCAAATACTTTGGAGAGTGGGGCGATTCGTAACAGGGGCGATTCGTAACGAATGCGTTTATTAATTTAAGTGGAGGGAGCAGAGGAAAATCTGAGTATGGCCCCTCTTTCGCTTCAAGTAGAGGGTCCTTGAACAATCGAAGCGGATGTGATTGGTGCACAGGTATAGTTTTGGACGGAGTCTGAAATATAGGGTACACCGAAAACAGGCAAATCTTAAATTTTGAGTTCTAGGAAGTTTCTGACTGAGGCTCCCAAGGTATGAATCACCATCGAAGTACTATTGGGGCCTTGAAGCGTGACCCCTTAACAATGTAACCAGGTAGCATAAGTTGCATTGACTTTGTTCAGTGATGGTTAGGGACGTACTTCTTGCGTAACAGGCATTTGGGGTGATTCGTAACAGACCCGTATAAAAATTTAAGAAGTTTATGCAATTTAATGCATGGAATTATTTCTCGAATCATCTGCTGCCTTATTGTAGACTTTGGGGATATACAATCAACTTTAAGGGGGCTTGTGAAAATCGTCAAATTTTGGCCTCCTTTTGTATTGTAACTTATTTTTCTGCTATTCATCCCGAGTCTAACGCCGCAAGTCTCGCTGACCCTCTTTCTGTCATACATTTTTCATGGCACTTATTTTCGTCATACATGTATTTCGAATTTCAATGTAGGTTTGGCATTGGAAACCAAGAGCTAGGAACCATTTTTTTTCTGGATGCTGGTGAACAAAAATGTTTGCCCAACTTTACTGACGTGACTAAATGTCCTCTTTGCAGGATCTTCAGGGACAGAGTGCCGAGACAGCATGGCGGGAGGTCATCAGAGCAGTGCAGGGAGCGTTGCGGGCTCAAGTGGCAGTAGTAGCAGGTGCGTACTTGAAAATAAAAACTAACAAAAAAAAAACACCGTTTTAAACCTGACGAATCTTTGTGCTTATGTAACGTGCACAGACTCTTCAATTTTTCGTACAAAGAATTAGTTCGTAAGTTATGATCCACTGCAAATCCAAAGGCAGTACTTTTAGTACCTTTTCTGGCGATACAATTGAGTATCGCCAATAAACCGGCTTACGGAAAAGTATTGCCTTCAAAAACGGCGATACACAAAAGTATCGCCAAAATTTGGCCATACTTCGGACTATTGCCACGATTTGGCAATAAACTCGGAACGAATCAAGGGGTCAAGTCCTTAGTTTAATGCCGTGGTTTTGGCGATACCCAAAAGTATCGCCAAATTTTGGCGACACTTCAGTGTATCGCCGCTCTGAAGTCAATACTTTTCCATAATGCCGTTTGTTGGCGATACTCAATTGTATCGCCAATAAATGGACTAGAGTATCGCCTTTGCATTTGCAGTGGAGGTGTTTTGTTATGTTCATTGCTACAAATGCACGGGGGAATTTCTAGTCAATCCATTATTATAAACGTAACGTCTTCAAGCGTAACATTAGGCTTGTCTCCAGCATAGACTTACGCTTTAGTTTTTCCAGTGTTTTCTCTAGTGGCTAAGTGATGACCAACACACGGTGGTGCAGTGTTTTGGCCACCGACAATGGTCCAAATTTGGGTGAGGAAGGGTGTACAGACCCAAAGTTGGGTGCACTCTAACCACGTTACTGACTTTTTGCTCATTTAGTCAGTACTTATGCAAGTAATTTGTGCAACCATATATACGTATATACGTACACATAATACGTACTTTTCATTTTCTTAATAACTACTTACAAAATTTAAAATAATGTACTGACGATTTGGCTTTGTACATAATTTTACTGCGGAAATTAGTCATACTTGCTTAGAAAATACTAAGTATTCACTGAGAATGAAAAAGTCATGATCAATACCCAATTTTGGGCGAGGTTTAGTTTCTCACCCAAATTTGGGCGAGGAACGTTTCCTCGCCCAATTTGGGCGAGAAATGGTTCCTCGCCCAATTTTGGGTGAGGAAGGGTGTATCAGCTCCCTATCTAGCTCCATAGTATTATGACCCAAATTTGGGTGAGGAAACTTTCCTCACTCAAATTTGGGCGAGGAAAATTTCCTCACCCAAATTTGGGTAATAAAGAACTCCTCACCCAAAATTTTAGTCATGATCATGACTCTTTCATTCTCAGTGTTATTGTTGCTTATACGAATACGTCATGAATGAGAAAAAAGGCAGTAACGTGCTGAGAGTGTCAGGAAACCTTCCTCAGCCAAAATTGGGCGAGGAAAACCCAAATTTGGGTGATAAAGAATTCCTGACGCAATTTTAATGGATCTTTCATTCTCAGTGAGGAACCATTAGCGCACCGCCCAACGACCGTTACTGCTCTGCAACCTCAAGTGTGTGCCAGGCATGCACTTCTTGGTGCATGCCTGCAGGACTGCAGGCACACACTTCCTGGTGCATGCCTGGCAGGCACACACTTCTTTTCTGCATGCCTGGCAGGCACACACTTCCTGGTGCATGCCTCAGGCACACACTTGCCGTCGCTTATGCATGCATACATGCAAGTGTGTGCCTGAGGCATTCACCAGGAAGTGTGTGCCTGCCAGGCATGCACCAGGAAGTGTGTGCTTGCAGGCATGCACCAAGAAGTACATGCCTGGCACACACTTGAGTTTGCAGAGTGTTACTGTCAAAGCTAAACCCTGATTAATCACAAGCGTTGATCAGGACGTCCTTCATGACAGTTGCCGCTAGGCGGTACGCAGCTAGATTCTGCTTTATGATAACTTTTGTTCTTCACTCGGCGATGACTGGAAGGATCTACGTGTTTGAAGTGGGACAAAGCCGAAGAGTAATGTTGTGCTCTATTTGCAGGTCGAGGAACGAGCTGTGGAGCCTGCTGACGGAGCACTTCACGCCCCCTGTTGATTGTGGTGTCACGCTTCCTTCTGGGCCCTGCAAACGAATTCATGTGAAAGACAAGCGTGTTCAGATTATTGTAGAGAGACGAGAGTACCTACAAGGCAGCATTTGTTCGGACAAGAATTGCGAAGCTACGACAGAAAAAGTATTTTACAAAAATCCAGAAAAGAAGTTAGCTTTATTTGGAGACGGAAAGTTCTGTGGCCCATCAGATCCCTCTCTTATAGCGAAAATTAGGAAATCGTTTACGCAAATGGTCGACGAATTTGCAAGTACAGTCAAACCAGGCAAAGAGGAAAATACCGAAAATCTGCCTGTGCTTTATGAAACACCCTGTAATGGTCGTCATTGTGACGAGCTAATTTACTTGTGGGAGTTTGGGAAAATAGAAGCTCTTGATCGTTACCCTAAGGAAGAATATGAAAAAGTTATGCATTGTTATCACGGTGGTCAAGCTGTCGGGCACCACATATCTTTCTTTATGCATTATATAATTCATTTCTTCATAGGAACAAAGTTGTTGTTGTACAACAACGTTGAAAAGCCCCCTAAATTGAACTATATGTACGAAGATTCGTGTGATGGTCAAACCTTCCTGCCTTACGAGAGGAAAAACTTACAATTGTGGATGAAAGACTTGGATGCAACTACACGAATGTGCAAAAAGGCTTTCCGCTGCATTTATCTGTATGTATATTGGCGACGAAAATTTGAACCGAATTACAACATTGAGACTGATGACATTTTAGAATTAGGGAGTGATGAAAACTTTTGGTTGCGTTGTTTTAGTCGATTTTAAAACACAAATAAGTACAGACCAGCCTCGATCAGTGGTCATCGAATTGCTCGATCGACGATTTTGATTGATCGTGGTTTCGTTTCCTACACCTAAACAACCGAAGAGGTGGAGTGGGAACCTCTTAGCAAAATTATGAACGAAGTCAAATGAAATTGTCATCAACCGCTGACTTCAAAACGAGGCTGGTCGGTACCAAGAATGAGTGCCTGTCATCAAATTGTGTTTGTTTACATTCATTACGCATCTTGCTGGTGTTTTCAGCGAATACTTCAATACTTCAATACGTAATTCAATATGTAATTGAAGACTCTGGCGGCAGATTGTAAATTTTATACCCTTTGATTTATTGTTCAAAATTAAGCTTCACTTCGATCACTACGCAATCAATGCAATAAAACGGTCACGATCGTACATCTGTGTGTGATTTTTTGAATTGCAGCCTGCCACCACCCTAAATCCAATGGAGATACCCAAGTGCGGGTAAGGACCTCGTTTCGAGGTTATTTTACGTAGAACTACTATCAAACGAAAGGCGCTGCGGTCTTTCCAATTTAAGTTTATCATCTACCATCCTTTCCACGTGTTTTGGCCGAAAAGCCATTTCATTAGCTTGCTTCTTTACAGAGTAACGGTAATAGATCGAGATAGAAAGCTGAGTTCTGGCGTGTGGCGAGCCATGGACATGCCGTATGAGCCTGCCAAATCTCAGCCAGGTCGGCCGAGCCGTTCAGGAGGTGTAGTTGTTGACACACAGACAGACAGAAAACTTTTTTAGCTTCAGTCGAGTACCGTAAGCTGGGGTATAATGAGACAATTTCGGGGTAATAGGAGACGGAGTTTGGTTTGCGTAAGATTCGCTCTGAGCTTGCTATTCGGCCACAAAGAGAGCCACTGCTCTAAAAAATTAATTACTCTTTGTTGGAACCATTTTTCGCCGTGAAGTTTGACAGGGATAAGTCATCAAATGCCACGAGCATCATAATTCTAACGATAAAAATCATGCGTCTCATATTACCCCGAAATTGTCTCATATTACCCCGGTCTACGGTAGCAGGTTTCACTATCGCTGAGCCAATAAGTGACTTATCTTAAGAAACGTTTGAATGAAGTGGGTTATTGCCAGATAAATGAATTTCTCATAATTTACTTTTATTAAGCCGTTTATACAATGCCTCGAAACAAATTATTCTTAAAAAGTAACTCGAAAATTCTGAAGAAAAGAAACCGTTGAGATCGAGAAAAGTTAAGTTAAAAGTACTTGCCAACAAAGAAATTAGCAAAGGCAGTCCACCAACACTCTGGCAAAAAGCTACGGAAAATTCTGTTAACAGCTTGTGGTAATCCTCCGTAGCCCCCTTGTCAATATTCTCCGTAGGCTCTTACAGCATTTTCCGTGGGACCGCACAGTATTCTCCGTAGGACCGCAGTGTTCTCCGTAGGACTATACAGTCTTCCAGGTCCTACAGAGAACACTGTGCGGTCCTACGGAGAATACTGTACGGCCCTACAGAGAATACTGTGCTACGGAGAATCCTGGCAAAAAAATAAACAGAAGTTTCCGTACCTTTTTGCCGCAGTGAAATCACGTAAATTGAATTCATGAAAAGTAGCTCGTCATCAAAACACCAGACTGAAAAATATGAATTGAACTTGAATCGTAAAGTGGAAAAGGGTGGCGAGGGAACAAATCAAATCACAAGCACAACATGATAAAAATAAAATAATTTATTGAGTCTTAAAAATAGAAAACGAAAACTAACTTGACTCTTCTCAACAAAAAGGCCCTCACACGCACACACATTCAGACACTGAAACAAATCGAAATGATAGTTAGTGAAACAAAGTACACTCCAAAATAACTCGCCAAAAATTAAATGAAAAAAAAAACTTACTCAGCGGCGGTGGGGGTAGCGTCCTTTCCACGGTGCCAGGGCGTCGTCGGTCGTCATCCTCGTCTTCGTCCTCTTCGTCTTCTTCCTCGTCTTCATCATCAACATCTGGTAGCGGTGGCGTTCGGGGCCTCGAAGGACCGGCCTCAGCCAGTTTTTTCTGGCTGACAGGGCCTAACAGCGTTGATGATGATGGTGGAATGATGCTGCTGCTGGTGTTGGCAAGAAGGTCCTGGCGGGGGGGGGGGGGGGGGGGGCTGATGCAGCCCAGGCACTCCTTTGCCGTCACCCTGGCCCCCGCGCTCCTTCACTCGGCGCTGCAAACGGAACTATACGATTATGCAGGGAGCATAAACTCATTCCCTTCTCATTGAGACGACAGTAGAAGTCCCTCGACAGTGAGTGTGTAGAACACTGGCAAAGGCAGGAAAGTTCCGTACATCACATACGTGGGTAAGGTGCTGCTGCATCCTTCTATCCAGGTCCTCCCCACCTACAAGTTGGACGCCAGGGGATTTTAGGACTGTGACCTGGTTCTTTGCGACGGACAAGATTGACAGGCCTCCTGCTCCTGCACCCACATCGTCAATGGGTATTAACTGCGTCCCTTCAAAATCATGGGCTTGTGCGGAACCAGCAGCTAACTGAGATATCACGCTCTAACAGCAGCTGCAAGGTGACCTGGAAAGAAGCTGATACACCCTTCCTCACCCAATTTTGGGCGAGGAAAGTTTCCTCGCCCGAATTTGGGTGATAAAGTATACCTCGCCCAAAATTGGGTATTGATCATGACTTTTTCATTCTCAGTGAAAACGAATGCACCGGAAGTCGGGTCGCGTCGGCCAATCAGGAGCCTCCTTTCATCACGGGTAGGCGCTACCACTGATGAAAGGAGGCTCCTGATTGGCTCGCCGACGCGGCCCGACTTCTGGTGCATTTGGTTTTTCGAGGGATCGGAGTGGATCCAGCGAAATAGTCTGTGTCATTCCTAAATTCCGCTGTTCTTAGTTCCTATCCAGCGTTAGTCGTCAGACGGCCCACTCCACCTTCGAACTCTAGCATCCCCGATCGACATCCTGACGCAGTCTCCGTACCAACAGCAACCACGCTCGAAGCTCTCGGAAGTCGCCGGCCCGGGACGCTCTGTGCCAACGTGCGCTGTGTGCGTCTTACTACACCCTGTGGTGAACCTGCATTCAACGTTATGGAAGCATCGGTGAGTCATTACAGCTCGGAACTGTAAGGCCCCGCACTGACAGGCTAATCCTGCCGAGGGCACTAGTGTACTCATGTGTAAAAATAGACCATTCTAGTAGCGGCTGAGTGAAGAACAAGAAGAATCACAAAAGTGTACTTTTAAGCACTTTTACTTCAAATATTTAAGTCCCCTTACTTGGTAAAAGTGATTGATAATATTATTGAGTAAATGCAACATATTTTGAGCTAATATAAGCCCTTTAAATGCCCTAAATTGAGTCTTTTCTGATTCTTCTTGTTCTTCACTCAGCCACGACTTGAATAGTCTCTTGGCCTCAGTGTACTCAAAGATTTCAAAGGAGCTAAATTCGCTCATTTTCAAGCGATTTGGCGTTGTGTGTCGTCTCAACCGCTAATTAAAGCCAAGAAACGTTTAAAATGTGAAACTTATGCGTATTAGAAGGTGTACTCACCCGTACTCACTCATGTAATCACGTGTACACCAGAACACGGTGTGGTTCACCCGTCGCATCCTGCACAATGTCTCGCGTAACAGATGTTGACTCGTTCAGAAGTTCCGTGGACGACGCCTACGGAAACCGTGTTAAGTGTGAATTGTCTTTAATGAATCTTGGACCGGCATTTGAAAACAGCGTCTACTCCTTCACCGAAAATATTCAACTTCTTTTATTGTCTACAAATAGGTCATGCCCATTGATCATTCGTTTTTCGGAGATGTAAAGAGGTCCTGATAGGGCAGGAAAACTTAAACGAAATTTTTTTCACGTTCTTGGCTCTAACTTTTAAACAACAAGGGTTATCTTGAAGACCAAGAGTTTGTTAAAAAGCCCTTAATCCTCAAAAATTTTTGTTACGTTATTACCCGAAATGATCCGCCACCTCTTGTGTCCTAATTTACAAAATAGCGTTAATGGATGTTATTTTGTAACGAAAAATGATTTAGGACTAAAGGACGGTTTGATCGCTTCGGGTGTTAAAACAAGGAAGATTCAGTGGGTTCAAAGCTTTCCGACAAGCCCTCGGTCGTCAAGATAACCCTTGCTGTTCAAGGAGGTTAGAGTCAAAAAAGTGTAAATAAACTCGGTTAAATTATCCTGTCCAGGCCATCCAGCAATTCTGGCGCGGTCAGCTCGAGTTTGCAGGAGTAGGGATGTGCGAATCAAGGATTTTCATTTCGAATCGAATCTTTCAAAAAAGTTTCGAATCGAATCGAATCTGGAAAAAATTGTCGAATCGAATCGAACTTATAAAGATTCATAATCGAATCGAATTCGAACTGAAACTAGAAAAAATTAGTGCGTTTCAAAACACAAAACACAGAGAAGCTCCAGACAAAAAAAAACCACTTGGTCGGCGACATCCTAGGAGCGGGCGCTTGTGGTGTTTTATCGGTTCATTGTACGTATACGAACTGCCGAAAAGACACTTGGACGAAATCCGACACCCCCTGTGGCTTTGGTACGGGTCTAAACACCCCAAAAACAGCTGTTTTCGAGGGTTTGGGACTAGATGGGTTCTCGCAAACCGAGATCCAAGAAAGTACCCAAATGGGTCTCAGATACTCAAAAAAATGCGCTCTTTCGAATGCCGTGTCGAAAGAGGCTCTACGACGTCGGGTTTGGATGCTACGGGCTCTCAAAGTTGCTCAATTTCACTATTTTTACTGAAGATTTGGGCATATCAGGGCCGTTTGAAGTAGACCATCGGCGATTTCGCTCCTCTTTGTCTTAAATGGTGCCTACCCATAGGTAAAAACCCCCACAAAATTTCAGCCATGTCAGGCAATTATTAGAGGAACTGTGAACAATTTAAGTTTTGGGTCATTTTACCACTGGGCTTAGGTGGTTTTGGGTCCAGAAAAAAATAATTTTTTTAGCTATCTACTTTTGATCAGCACCTCTTGAAACGCCTTTTTAACATGGTGCCTCAAAACGTTTTTTCGAGGACAAACTTGTCTTTTTCTCCAAGTTATGTTCCAATTACAGCTAGTTTGTCCTCGAAAAAACGTTTTGAGGCACCATGTTAAAAAGGCGTTTCAAGAGGTGCTGATCGAAAGTAGATAGCTAAAAAAATTATTTTTTTCTGGACCCAAAACCACCTAAGCCCAGTGGTAAAATGACCCAAAACTTAAATTGTTCACAGTTCCTCTAATAATTGCCCGACATGGCTGAAATTTTGTGGGGGTGTTTACCTATGGGTAGGCACCATTTAAGACAAAGAGGAGCGAAATCGCCGATGGTCTACTTCAAACGGCCCTGATATGCCCAAATCTTCAGTAAAAATAGTGAAATTGAGCAACTTTGAGAGCCCGTAGCATCCAAACCCGACGTCGTAGAGCCTCGTTCGACACGGCATTCGAAAGAGCGCATTTTTTTGAGTATCTGAGACCCATTTGGGTACTTTCTTGGATCTCGGTTTGCGAGAACCCATCTAGTCCCAAACCCTCGAAAACAGCTGTTTTTGGGGTGTTTAGACCCGTACCAAAGCCACAGGGGGTGTCGGATTTCGTCCAAGTGTCTTTTCGGCAGTTCGTATACGTACAATGAACCGATAAAACACCACAAGCGCCCGCTCCTAGGATGTCGCCGACCAAGTGATTTTTTTTGTCTGGAGCTTCTCTTAGCGTGTACATAGCATGTATGCACTAGTAAGTGCATGCATGGCAGGCATGCGCTAGCTAGAGCGTGCTTGCAGGCATGCTCCAGGTAGAGCATACAATGTACGCTTTTCGATTTGTAGAGCAGTTTTGAATTTCCTAAGTGTGGATTAAGAGGGGTGATTTTTCTTTTAAATGGATGATTTTTCGATGTCGTATATTGATTTGTATGGTTTTAAAGGCGCAGATGAGGAATGCCCTTTAATGTAGTTGAGACCAAAGGCGAATTCAAATTATCAATCAGCCATGCCATTGTGTAAAAAAGAAAAGCTTGCAAATTTTAATGTTCTACAAAGTAACATAAGGAATGCCGAATTAGCAGTCAACGCGCCGGAAATCGTTGCAATAGTTGAAAGTATATCGCGCCCCCATGGCATTGTTCACCTTCCAGTTATTGAAATTGATGTATTCATGTGGCTGTTCAGTCTACTGGTAAAACTTAGGCATAAAAATTACGCCCTCTAGGCTAGGGAGTAAACACTATTGCGCCCTTCTTGGGCGTAAATCGTTGGGAAGGGCGTAAATTTTTTAGGACTTCCAAGCAAAATTTTTATGCCCTTCCAAAAGGTATTAACGATTCACGCCGCTTCAGGGGCGTAGATCGTTAACGCCCGTAAATGGCATAATTTTAATGCCTTTGTTTCACCAGTGTACCGTCCAATAAGCTTTTAGGTGCAGCTCAGTATGCTGAGCTATGCATGGAGGCTAACACTGAGATTCCAAACGCTATGAGTATAGCACGTATGGTGCAGTGCACTACGGTATTGCACCATACGTGCAATGCCCAGCCCTATTGTACCCTTACGTCCTATGCGTCCCGAAAAGGCCCTATGCTAATTAATGGGAATGGGAAGGCATTGCACTTCATGTGCAATGCTTTTGCAATGCACCAATTGACGCTATATTACACAGCGAGCTCAGCAACGCTGCCACAGGCCTTTCCCTCACTGAGAATGAAAAGTGAAAACCCGGACAAACACTTTGCCTGACGTATACTTGATGACCCAGATTTGACTGAGAATCGTTTTATCGTCCAAATTTGGGTGATGATTTGCGTGATAATAACTTCACTCTAATCAACTCTTTGACACTAAATTACTATATAGGTTTTCTGCGCGCCAATGCACGAAATTAAACATGCACTTCGTAACGCACGAATTTGTGCGCCACAATGCACGATTTCGTGCGCAAGTATGCAGAAAATCGTGCATTGTTGCGCACAAATTAGTACGTTACAAAGTGCATGTTTAATTTCGTGCATTGGCACGCAGAAAAACGTACATAGTAATTTAGTGTGTTCATTCTCAGTGCTGGTTTGTCGAGTGCTAAATTGTTGTGACCTTGCCCACAGCTGCTTGACCTCCCCGACGACGCGCTGCTGGCCGTGCTGGCCTACCTGCCGCCCACGCAGCTCTTAACGTCCCGCGGAGCGTGCCGCCGCCTGCGCGATCTATGCCTCCACCCCGACCTGTGGCGTTCGGTTCGACTTTGGGGTGTAGGCTTGAGCAAGCCACTGCTGCTAGCCGCTCTCCGTCTGGCACCCTGTGTTTGCGAGGTGGACCTGACAATTACCTCTCCCAACAGTGTTGCTGCCGTGGTGGCCAGCACCACATGTGTTACTCGCAGCCTTGTAGTGGATGTTCTAGACGATGATCGTTTGCCCTTCGCCATGGCTGCACTAGAGAAGTTCTCTGCACTGGGTGGCTTGAGAAACTTGGAAATCAGGAGCATTGCTATTCCCTATGGAGACATACGTGCGCTCTTAAGGATGGCATATAGTGTCGCCAATCTTCATGAGCTCACCATCAACACTAGCGTGTCACAACCGTCACTGTCTGTCTCATGGACTGGTCTTGAAGAAAGGAGTGCATCCCTGAAGAAACTAACTTACCGTTCAAAAGGTGCAGACCCCTTCCTTGTAGAGCTGCTTAGAACGCATGCGACCACTCTTGAAGAAGTAGCAGTCTGGCTCGGGGTCGGCAACTCCGTCCCGCTGTCTTTGTTGAACAACATTCCAAAGCTGCGTTCTTTGGCCTGCTACTGGCACGACGATCTGTCTCAGTTGCAGGCAGCTCCTCAACTCGACACACTTGAACTGTCTGCTGAAGGGATGGTGGTTCGCTCCGGTGCCTCACCTTGGGACTTTCTCCGCCGCACTTCGCAGCTGCGATCTGTGACTTTAACACTAATGGACTCGGACGCCGAGGCTCCTCTCATAGCTTTGGGCGAATCACGTTCAGCCCGCCTTCTTGAGAATCTTTATCTCAAGAATGCTTGGTTTGCTTCGGACCGGTTGGCTTGCGCCCTGCAGCAGTTTCCCTCGCTGCGGCTCTTCGACCTGG